AGCATGGAGCTTGAATCCTCCAGATGGATCAGTCTCTCCCTTTCTTCCCATGTTCCTTCACCAAATCTAGCAGGAGGTTCTTTATGGTATCTGTTTTCCAAAAAGGTGAAAATGCCTCTTAAGGCTCAGGCTTCACTCCTTTGGTAAAAGCAAGTCACTGGATGAGTCTAGATTCAAGAGGAGGGGGGAATAGGTTTTTGTTGATGGGACAAGTGATGAAATCCCATTGACAAAGGGCACGTGGGCTGGGAGTCCTCTGTGGAAGTAATTTGCCACAGTTCACTAGCGGTCACCATTATTCACCTCTCTTGCCCAAGTCAGATTCACTCCTCTCACCCCCAAGAGTCTTCCCCCTTTTTGGCCCTGGCTTGAAGTCCAAGGTGTTGCCAAACTAGTTCCAGGTGCCATTGAGGCTCCTTAGATGTGTTTTCTGGTGAAGGTGCCCAGCAGGAGCTCCTGGGTCCAGAGGTCTGTGAAGTAAAAAGTTCTCGGCCCTCCTCACACCCAGCATACAATGAGGAGAGGGACAGGGCAACTGCAGTAGACCTTCTGGTTCAGAAAGGAGAAGGAGAAGCACAGAGCAGACACTAATCTGTATTGTTTTTGAAATCCAGCCTGATGCATGTCGCCACTTCTTACTCCGGGGCATGGAGTAGTTCTTGTTTAAGGGCCCATTTCTGTTCCTTGGAAGCACATCATCTAAGAGTTCTAGATGATCCTATTCAAATAAAGATATCTGTATTATGAAAGCACCTTGCATCATTCTTGCCACCTCCTAGGCTTGCAAAATACGGAGTCGTGTAATACTACTTTCCCAACACAGGCTGCTCTTTTGGAACATTCACAACATTGGTGTCTAAATTTTTATGCACAACTAAAATGTATTATGGATGAAAAAGTCACAAATTAATGATATCATATTTCTAGAGGGTTTTGCTTTTTTTTAATAATAACCTAATCTTCCTTTATAATAACTAGTTTCAGTGTGTGTGTGTGTGTGTGTGTGTGTGTGTGTGTGTGTTAAACTAAACACTTGCAAAGCACTTGACAGAGCCTCGAATACAGAGTTCCATTTCTCCTACAGGCTGTGATAATGGCTATTGCTTTTATTTATTTTTAATGTTATTTTGAGAGAGAGCATGAGCAGGGGAGGAGCAGAAAGAGAGGGAGACAGGATCCCAAGCAGGCCCTGCACTGACAGCAGAGAGCCCCATGTGGGGCTCTAACTCACAAACTGTGAGCTTAGGACGTGAGCCAAACCGTTGTGCGCTTAATGGACTGAGCCACCCAGGTGCCGTGCAAATCATTGTTTTAAGCCGCTATGCTTTGGGGGCAGTTTTTATGTAGCAGATAGCAACTTGGTGCCTGATGTCGTGTGTGAACTTTGTCTTGCATGTATTAATAACTGCATTTTTTTTCTTAGCAAAACTACATAGTTTGTATGACAAAATTATGTCATCATCAATGTTCTAAACCGCAGGAGCCCATCTGAACAACTTTGGCATCCACTGCCTGAGTTTAGAGAGCATGGCATCTGGGATATCCCAGTGTTTGAGAATATGTGGGTTTATGTTTAACAGTACGTGAGATGCAGTACTGTATGAGGACAGATGGCTGATGCTGGGCGATATAGTGATGGTTTATTTGATCCTTATAAACTTATTTGATGAGAGGGGTTTATAGCTGAGGCAGCTGGCTGAGAATGTAAATTCAGTTGTCTGAGGTCATAGAGCCAGTGAGTAATGGAGCCCAGGGGGGTCCCAGCTGTGCCTGACTCCAGAGCCTGCCTCCCATCTTAGGAACATATAGGGTAACTAGGAATTTAAGGAATGTATTCAATTTACCGAAAGAAACCGTTCATTTGTATCTGTAAGCCCAGACAGACATGGGAAAGGATAGTGCACTAGTAGTCAGAAGTCCAAGATTTTTGGTCGTAGCCATGATCCCAACTGAAGTGGGTTGGATTAGATGAGAGTTTCAGGTGGGACGTGAGGCACCCTACATCACCATGCCCTGGAGTATAGTTTTTAAAAATAAGTTTATTTTGAGAGAGAACCAGCAGAGGAGGGGCAGAGGTGGGTGGACTGAGGATCTGAAGCAGGCTCCATGCTGACAGCAGAGAACCCAGTGTGGGGCTTGAACCCACAAACTGTGACATCATGACCTGAGCTGAAGTCAGACGTTTAACCCACTGAGCCACCCAGGAGCCTCAAGTATTGTTTTAAATAAGTGAATTCCTGGGCTTCAGCCCAGCCTCACTAAATGAGTATCTCCCAGGTGGGCTCCAGTAAGACTTTTCAGGTGATTTTCTGCATTTTAGGTATTTTGTTTATTTATTTTGAGAGAGAGAGAGAGTAGAGGATGGGCAGAGAGAAAAGAACAGAGAGTTCCAAGCAGGTCCGCACCGAGCCCAATTCGAGCTAACGAATCAGGAGATCATGACCTGAGCAGAAACTGGGAGTTGGACACTTAGCCAACTGAGCCACCCAGGTGCCCTGCTTTGTACGTTCTGATTCAGAAGCCATAATCTCTAAAGAAGATCCCCGTGTACTCTTTAAGAAATGATGCCAGCTGTATTTGAGGCCTCTAGAGAGAACTGCAATTTTTTTTAACAACATGAACTTCTCCTAGGGCTAAAATGTAATATTTTCTAGGAAGCTTCCAGTAGTCTGTGATCCTCTGATAGCACAACATACTGTAGAGACCCAGAACTTGATTTTGCTGCGACAGAGAATTTAATTTCCTGCATCTTGCATTCTCCCCAGTCTATTGGATTATTTTCAACAGTGTACAGATCAGATCTGCCTTCCCATTGTTAAGACAGCCCCTCTTTTTATCCCCCATCTCTGTTCAGCTGGCACCCTGTGCGCTTCTCCCCTTTGCGGTAAAGCCCCTCTGGGTGAGAGTAGCCAGGGCCCAGTGTCCTCTTCCTTTCTGAAACTCACCCATCAGGCTGCCCCCTCAGTGCTCCTACCAGGGTCACCTTCCAGTTGTTGGATTTGGTGGCCAGCCTCAGCCGTCCCCTCGCCTCTTTCCGTGGCACTAGATCAGTGGTCCCCTTTCTTCACTGGCTTCCAGGACACCACACTCTGGGGCTCTTGTGACCTCTGGGCCATTTCTGCTTCCCCGAGACATCACCTGAGACTTGTTCACAAGTCCCTTTCACATTGTGGTGCTGTGACCCCACTTAAAAAAAAAAAAAAAAGTGTATGTTGATAAGGACAAAATTTATCAGTATAAGTTTTCATCCTTTTAAATTCTGATGACTTCTAGGAAGGCTTGATTTCTTTAAGAGTTAAAGGTTCTGAGCCAGAATGGGGTTTATAATATAATTTTTGGTCATTCGTGTATTTCACCATTTACTCTCAAGTGATTAAATGATAATATTAACAGTTACTACTGTTTTGTAGTGCATACTTAGATTATCCTAAAAATAAGGTCTTATTGCCATGATGTAATACCGGATGCTGATATTTAAGGGGTCCAAAGATCCACTTTGAATCTCTTGAAAAGCCTGACAGAGTGGTCATTACATACAGTAATATATTGAGTACTTCCATTAAATCTTGCTAGAGAGTGTTATAAAAATTCCTCTAAAACCTGAAATTGTGGTAAAATATCCTATAGTTCTGTAGGATTCTTCCCACATCCTCTGTTTAAGCCCCATCTTTAAGCTTTTAAAATATATTTACTTCAAGTTTTGTGTGTATGTGTGTTTAAAGATTTTGTACCTAAGCCTTTACCCACAAATGTTTGCATTTCTTGGTGTCCTTATTCAGTCTTTTTCTGTCTGTAGATATGATTCCTCTATAGGTGTGTCATGTATAATTTGGTTCATTTTTTTAAAAATCTCAACATTATTTTGTGAGTAATCTTATTAAATGTAACAGCTAGAATTTTTAATGACTATATCGGTCCAGTTTGCTTAATAGTTCTTATTCAGCTGGGCTTTTTTTATGGTGTCCAGTGTTCCTCAGTTACAAATAAATGCTATTTTACAGATTCTTTGTAAATGCAATTTCGTTTTTATTTTTACTTATTTTTTAAAGATTTCTTTTTCTTTTTTTTTTAATTTTTTTAAGGTTTTTTTTTATTTATTTCTAGAGAGAGAGAGAGTGAGCAGGGGAGGGTCAGAGAGAGAGGGAGTCACAGACTGAAACAGGCTCCAGGCTCTGAGCTGGCAGTCAGCACAGAGCCTGACGCGGGGCTCGAACCCACGAACCGTGAGATCATGACCTAAGCGAAAGTCGGACGCCTAACCGACTAAGCCACCCAGGCGCCCCTCGTTTTTATTTTTAAATGATTGTCTGCTGACAAATTCCCAAGAGTATGATTATACAATGAAAAACCCAACCTTGAAGTCCTTGAGATATTAGGATTTTTCTTTTTTTTTTTTTTTGCTAGTTTTGTTGAGAATAATTTCATTATTTGAATTTCATCTCTTAATCATTAGCAAGGTGAAACTTTCCCCTATGGATATAGTACCTCTAGTTCCTCTCATGTGAATTGTCTGTTCCTTATTTCTTGTCTGTTTATTTCTTGGTACTTGATAACACTTGCATAAGCTCACAACCCTTTTTGATCAATTATATCGATACATTTGTGTATTATTTTCCTTTTATGCTGATTTTGATTTTTCAGCATAGAGAAAAACTTGACGACCTTCAGAACATTCGTTTATGACCATTTTCTGGTGGATGATATTTTCTTTACCTTCTTTTTTTAAATTGTGTAATTGTCGGCGTACCTGCCTGGCTCAGTTGGTAGAGCATGCAGCTCTTGATTTCAGGGTTGTAGGTTGGATATAGAGATTACTTAAAAAGATCTTTAAAAATGTGTAATTGCTTTTATTTGCTGCTAAATATTTGTAAACAAATCTGTAAATGCAGACCTTTTACATTTATGGCAGACTGAGTTTACAAAGGATTTTCTAATGTGTCCTTGTGTTTAAATATGCACACTGATGATATTTTATCTGTCCCATTTCTCCTTTTTCCCAGGCACCCAACAGGAGGATCCTTTATTCGTCCAAACAAAGTAAATTTTGGAGTGGACTTCCTCACTGCAGTTAAGAATCGCTATGTGTTAGAAGATGAACCAGGGGAAGATGGAAAAGACCAAACTGTTATAATTGGAAACAAAGCTGTGGAAACTGTTGGTTTTGACTCCATTATAAAACAGCAAAGGTATGTAGAAGTGATAAGGGCAGAACTGACTTTGACCGTTCCATCACCACTCAGGACTGAAGTTCACCCAACTGACTGTGTGTCGACACTCAACACTTTGCTTCCAAACTGGTGTGGCCTCCCTGCACACACACAAATTGGAATCAGATGAATCTGAGGATTGAAGTCTTCAGGGAAACGAAAATTCTTAATTTAGCATAGGGGTTGTTGGGCTTTTCTAGATTGGAATTAAAACATTAGGTTGCCCACTATTAATATTTATACCAACTGTCCTGTATCATAAATAACTAAGATTGACATTTTGGTTCTTCTTTATTTCATGGTGACCTACCTAGCTGGTGATAAGTCAGAAATGGAAACACAGGTCTCACCGGCCTTGTGGTTTGCTGGTCCCATCTAGAACCAAGCTAGCTTCCATCTTTGGCCGCACACCCTTCTCACCTGGGCTGCTTGTGAAATTGCAGAGCCTTTGGTCCCATCCCAAACCTGTATCAGAATACTATGGGCTCTTGTTTTTAAGAAGGACCCCAAATTATGATGTAGCGGTCTGAGGGGCAGTAAAGAACTCACTGTAGAACTGTGCATGCCAACATTCTGTTCTCTGAAACTCTGTGGACACTGTGGTTCTATACAGAGCGGCTTTCTGCTCGCTCTAATGCACTCTCTGAATCGGAGTGAGTAGCAGCTCATGTTCCCACAAGACACAAGTGCACAAGAACCTTCCAGGCTATGCAGGTTAAGTGATGGTCAGTGCTGTGGTGGTGGACCCTGACCTGGATGAGGTGACTTCATAGTGACCCCTGGTGGCCACTCTGGAGAGGAAGTTTGTAGCCACTTGGCTTGAGCCTGAATTAACCTGTGGTTTTGTTCAGAGTACATTTATTTGCTGTCTTATTTAGCCATTATTAATATTTAACATAAGAAATTTAAAGAGCAGATGGTCAACGGACGAATGGATCAAGAAGATGTGGTTTATCTATACCATGGAATACTACATGGCAATGAGAAAGAATGAAATCTGGCCATGTGTAGCAACATGGATGGACCTTGAGGGTGTTTTGCTGAGCGAAATAAGTCAGGCAGAGAAGGACAAATATCATATGTTTGCACGTATAGGAGGATTAGGAGGAACTTAACTGAGGACCATGGGGGAGAAGAACGGGGAAATAGTGGGGGAAAGGGGGAGAGGCAAACCATGAGAGACTCTTGAATGCTGAGAAACAAACTGAGGACTGATGGATGTGGGGGGGAGGGGGGAGGAGGGCACTTGTGGGGATGAGCACTGGGTGTTATGTGGAAACTAATTTGACAATAAACTATTTGTAAAAAACAATAAATAAATAAAAATAAAAATCCATTGCTTTGATACCTCTGCTTTGTAGCATAGATGACCAGCATTAGCAATAACAACAGAAAACTCAGAGGAACAACCCAAATATCTGTAAGCCTAGAACGGATAAATAGTGTTGTATTCATTTAGTGGCATACTGTGAACGTGACCGAACAGTGGTCCTGTGCACCCATATGGGTGAAATCTCCTACACATAGCATCCAGGAGTCAGACACAAGGAAGCACACGTTGTGTGATGCTGTCTATATGAAGGTCAAAAACAGTCAAAATTGATCTATAGTGTTAGAAGTCAGGATAGACAGTTTTGGGGGAATGGAGGAAGTAGCTGTCAGGGGCGAAAAGAGGCCTTCCTGAGTCCTGAGAATGGACTATTCTTTTTTTTCCCCCTAAATCATTTACTGTATTTATTATTTTTTATTGAAAACTTTTTAATGTTTATTATTTTGAGAGAGAAAGGGAGACCTAGAATCCAAAGCAGGCTCTGGGCTCTGAGCTGTCAGCACAGCCTGATGTGGGGCTCAAACCCCCAGACCATGAGATCGTGACCTGAGCCGAAGTCAGACGCTTAACCAACTGAGCCACCCAGGCACCCCTTTTTTATTTTTTAAGTAGGCTCCACACCCAACATGGGGCTTGAACTCACAACCCTGAGATCTAGAGTTGTGAGTTGTGTGCTCCACTGACTGAGCTAGCCAAGAGCCCCTGTACTATTTCTTGATCTGGGTGGTGGTTACCTGTGTGTACTCCTTTAAAAACACTGAGGTGTACTTATGGATACGTAGGCTAATGCACATACTTTCCTATACATAATTTTTTCAATAAAGAAAGTATGTGAAGGAGAAAAAAAACTGAATAAATTGAGATTTTTATAAAAGCAACAACTTGACTGTTAATCACAAAGCAGTTTACACTCCTTGGTGAGAATTTAGGAACTAGATACATTGAACAAAAGGAGGTCACGCCTTCATGCCACCACCAAGAGAGAACTGTCATGAATGCTTTTTGCTTTTTATCCTACTGGTTTACTTAAATTTGAAGAAATATGTGCTTCATAGGGTTGGGCTTTTTTGCTTTATTTTTTCCATTTAAAGTGCAAATAATAGGGGCACCTGGGTGGCTTAGTCGGTTAAGCATCCGACCTTCGCTTAGGTCATGATCTCTCGGTTCGGGGGCTCGAGCCCCGCATCGGGCTCTGTGCTGACTGCCAGCTCAGAGCCTGGAGCCTATTTCAGAGTCTGTGACTCCCTCTCTCTCTGACCCTCCCTGCTCACGCTGTCTCTCTCTCTCCTAGAAATAAAATAAAAAATAAAAAAAGAATTTTAAAAAAGTACAAATAATAGAAAAAAATGAAAAAAGATATCGAGATACCTTTTACCTCAAAAGAGGCAGTTTTTTCTTACTGGTTAATCTCATTCAGAGAATACTATGGCTCTGTGAATATGGACAAATTGCAAAACAATTTCTCTCCCCTGACTATGAACAACTGTATAACTCAAGACTTTTTTGAGGGGGGGATTCACCCTACTATTTGAGCATCATTGCATTCAGTAATTAGCTAGTGACTTTCTTGGAAATGACCAATGTTGGAGTTGGTCTGGGTTCAGATGTCAGCTAAGCCATCTTCTATCTCTGACAACTTTCTAGCTGTTAGAGATAGTATGCCTCATTCTAAGCCTGTTTCTTCATTTGCAAAACATTACCTAAGGTGTTGGAGCCTTTGGGGATAACAAGTGAGATTGTTCAGTGCAATTCTGTCATCTGTGTTAAGGATGGAAAGAAACCTCTAAGCCATCATATTATCTCAATAATATCCAGCTGACCAGCTCTGAGTTTGTACTGCTAAGACTTAGAAAACATGGATTAAAAAGAGAAAAACCAGTATGTAGGACTTCTCTTGGACATGGCTTTGCCTTTGGAGTGAGGTCTGTACTGAGACCTAGGATTCTAAGTTTTGGAGCAAGGTCCTTTGGGCACTGCAGACAACTCACTGGGCACAGCAGGGTCTTTTTAATTTTAGAGGGAAGCAGTGACCTCTGTTGGACACGGAGCAAGCTATTAGCTTGAGGCTATTCAGTTTCATGATATTCCTACGGTTCCTTTTGTGGGTGTCCTATCCCTGCAAAGGCTGGATTTTTGGTGATTGCTGTGATAAAAAGCGAGTACCTCCTGAAAATCATCATGGAAGCAAGAAATGGAGGTAGTGATGTCCAGTCGGATTCCAGGGTTTGGGAAGTTGTGCAGGGCCCAGCTGACACTAAGTTCACAGGATGTAAATCGTTACTCGGTTGTATGGCCCTAACTACTTACAAAATGGAAACTGAGGTGTTTCCTTTGTCTCCTGGAGACACTGAAAGAAATACTAAAACACCAAGAGCACTGTGAACTGAGCGCGTTTGGAAGACTCTGTGTTAGACCTTTGCTGCTGCATTTCCCCCAGATTGTGATGGTCATAATAGTATGTGCCTTGCACCTTGATCTGAGTGTTTCCCCGAAAGGTTGTCAGTTTTTTATTATTTATTAAAAATGTTTTTTATATTTATTGAGAGCAAGTGTGATTTGGGAAGGGACAGAGAGACACACAGAATCCAAAGCAGGCTCCAGGCTCTAAGCTGTCAGCACAAAGCCTGAGGCGGGGCTCGAACCCATGGACTGTGAGAGCATGACCTGAGCCAAAGTTGGATGCTCAACTGACTGAGTCACCCAGGTGCCCCTATTTTTATAAATACTTACAAAATAACTTACTGCGTATCAGGCAGCATTCTGAGGTTTTACAAATGCCAAAACTCACCAAATTACAGCATTTAAGATTATTTAAAAAAAATTTACCACCTTAACCATTTTTAAGTGTATAGTCTGGTAGCGCTAAGTACATTCACACAGCCGTCAACACTGTCTATCTCCAGAACCTTTTCACCTTCCCAAACTGAAACTCTGTCCCCCATCAAACAGCAGCTCCTCGTTTCCCTCCCCCCATCCCCAGCTCCTGGCAGCCACCATGCTGCTTTCTGTCTCTGCAGGGTTGACTCTTCTAAGAACCTCACATGAGTGGAATCCTACAGTATTGTCCTTTTGTGACTGGCTTATTTCACTTAGCATGATGTCCTTAAGTTTACCCACAGTGTATTGTATGTCAGAATTTCCTTTTTAAGGCCAAGTAGTATTCCACTTTATGGACGTACCACAATTTGTCCGTTCATCCATTGATGGGCTCTTGGGTAGTTTCCACTCTTTGGCTCCTGTGGTAATGCAGCTGTGAACATGTGTGCATGCCACAGCATTTTAAAGCTGTGGAATCAGAGGCACAAAGATTTTAACTTCCTTAAGCCCAAAGGAAGCTGTGGAATTGGGGTTTAAACCTTGGTGATGGGTCTCCAGATTTCATGTTCTAGATACTCTTAGGAGACTGGAACACATGGGCTCTTTGAGTAGAAAACACAGATTCTCTACACCTAAAAAGTGGCTTCAGAGATTATGTAGTAAAGCTGAAGGAATATACGCTCGCCAGGATGTAACCCTAGGGAGCCTTTGGCATGTGAGGGCAACGAGCACACAGTGTGGTTGGGAATCCTCTGCATGTCAGCAGAGGAGTAAATAAATTAGTCGTGGTCTATAACCTCTAAAACGGAGTGGCTCTAGAGTACATGGGTCGGTATAGCTAAATCTCCCTGTTGAACAGTATACTGTTGAGGAGAAAAACTTTGGAGGAGGGGATGTATATGGTAGGATACTGTTGATACCAAATTTCATTATACATGAAACACTATATTTAGGGATATGCAAATGTGTGGTAAAACTGTTCAATGCTTAAGTTTAAACAAACACCAAGTGTAGGACATGGGTCACCTATAGGGAGCAGAGAAGGAAGGGAAATGTCCTGGGAGGAACACAGAGGACTTCATCTTTATTTGTAGTGTATGTGGTGCTTTTTTTCTTTGTGGTTTAAAGCTTTATTTCTTTTTATGTTTGTTTATTTTGAGAGAGAGAAATTGAGAGCAGGGGAGAGGGGCACAGAGAGAGAATCCCAAGCAGGCTCTGCATGGTCAGCAGAGAGCCCGACACGGGGTTCACACTCATGAACTGTGAGATCATGGCCGGAGCTGAAATCAAGAGTCGGACACTCAACCAACCGGGCCATCCAGGCGCCCCAAAAGCTTTGTTTCTTATAGTGGGTGGCGGGTGCTGGTATCTGTTATTTTTTTGATGACTTTTGATATGTCTGAAATGCTTTTTAGGTTTTAAAGTACCAATGGACATGTACGTGCTTATGCATACGTGTGAACTCTGTTTTTCATGCAGTCAGCTGAGCATGTTGCAAGAAATTTCTCTGAGGAGCTGCGTGGTGAATGGTGCTGGCGACAAAGGAGCAATTGCCAAAGTGTGTCCTCGTATCCTTTTCACCGAGTGTCTGACACTGGGCGTGGCCCTCCCTGTGTCCATCGTCCCCAGCTTCCTTCCTAAGGGCATCTGCGTTTCACGGGAGGGCAGTCGCTGCCCAGCGGAGCCACTCACCTTCCCAGGCCCCTTTGCCAGCAGGTGAGGCTGTGTGCCCGTCCCAGCCAAGGAAACGCCAAGCAGCAGTCTCTGGACAGGGCTCCTTCTGGGGCCCAGACCTGGCCTGCATCTGCCTTCTGCCCAGAGCCTTTGCCCTGCTCCCTGCCTTGAGCGAGGACGGGACGCCCAGGGCCCGGCAGCCGTCCCGTGTGAAGATGACCGTCCAGCATGGCCTGGGCAAGCTGAGGAGGAGCGGGGGTGCCTGACCGCATCACAGGGCCCTTGTGCTGGCCGTGCTGGACCGCCACCTGGTGAGCGAGCAAACTCCTCTCTCCGGTTTCGGGCAGCTGCCTGCGGCTGTCACAGTTCCTCCTACGGGCTTTCCCGGAGTTTGTAATCTCTTCTACCCTCTCCTGGAAGAGGTGTGCGTGTGTGTGTGTGCCATACATTGCTCTCATGCCCACAACTAAAAATATGGGAGATTAAGTTAAAGAAAAAACAAAAAAACAATGGGCGCCTGGGTGGCTCAGTCGGTTGAGCGTCCGACTTCGGCTCAGGTCATGATCCCATGGTTTGTGGGTTCGAGCCCTGCGTTGGGCTCTGTGCTGACAGCTCAGAGCCTGGAGCCTGCTTCGGATTCTGTGTCTCCCTCTCTCTCTGCCCCTCCCCCGCTCGCATGCACAAGCTCACTCTCTCAAAAATAAATATTAAAAAAAAAACTCCCACTGGCAAATGAGATACATTTTCTCTAACTTAAAATACTTTTATTTTTTATTTATTTTTGAGAGAAAGAACATGTGAGTGGGGGAGGGGAGGAGAGGGAGAGGGGTCAGAGGAGAGTCTTAATCCAGCTCCCTGCTGACATGGGGCTCAATCCCAAGACCCTGGGATCATTACCTGAGCTGAAATCAAGAGTGAAATCAAAATGCTCAACTGAGCTGCCCAGGTGCCCCCACTTTCTCTAACTTTATGTATGTATGTATTTTTATTATAGTTTATTGTCAAGTTGGTTTCCATATAACACCCAGTGCTCATCAACCACTTTCTGTAACTTAAAAAGGTTGTCTCACAATTTTTGAAGTCTGCCCAGTCTCCACGTAATAATTTATGCCAAAGATAGCTGTTTGTGACCCATGTTATCTCTGCGGGAGGAGTCGGCAGATGAGCAGCTCTCCTTAGCCAGCTATTTCTAACTACGCCTACAGTGCGTCCTTTGTGGGGACAGAAATTAGAGCAGAGCTCCCAGCCAGCGTGTCTGGATGTCCACTCCCTCAGCCTGTGGGTCTGTCGGGACCTGGTCACCCTGCCAGCGAGCAGCCCCTTGCATCCGCTCCCGTGAGCCGAACCAGCGTGGTCCCTTCTCCGTGGTTATGGTAACCAAGGCAGAGGGTGTAGTTTGGTAAGGATGCAACGGCAGCTTCTGGAGCATTCTGTGATCTGCCTGGCCAGCTCCCCAGTCTTTGAGAAGATTGGAATTGGGTGGCACAAGACTTATTTTCAGTGTATCAGAAACGACCTGGCCAGTAGGTAGGTTTGGGAATGTCGGCCGTTGGGTCGCTGAGTTGTCAGCAGTGGCCAGAGAGGCAGCGTCTTGCTGCTTTATGTGGAGATGCATCCTCTGAGACCGGAAGAGATGAGGTTTTGTGAGATAATCAAGTTCCGGCTGATATTTGCAGATGTGGTGATGGATGTCTTGCAGTTCCTGATTGAATTCCAGCCTAAAGTGGAAGTTTTGCCTGTGTGTCTAATCCAGTCATCCTTTTTGGGTGGCCCCCTCCGAGGTCCCTCCCTGAGCCCGGGATGACAGGCCGCGGGAGTGCCTCGGCCCTGAGCTTGCCGGGCTGGGAAGCGCCTCTCCCGCTCCGCCAGCGGGCTCTGCACGGGGCGCAGGGTGAGCGTGCGCGAGGGGCAGTGTGTGAAACTGTAAGATTGTTTGGAGTTGATTTCAGAATGCAGATGTCCGTGTGCTCTGGGCACACTAGCAGGTATATTTATGATCCTGACCTACACGGTGAGGGAAGGATACTGGACTCCCCATTTCTAACCAACCCCAACGGCTCCCAGTCAGCAGCGTCATGGAAATGAAAGGTGGTTGGAGCTTGACCATGAGGCGTGAAAGCACCCAGCTCAGCGATCGCAGGAGGGTCCTGACCTCCCCAGTAGTACCCATTTCAGAGACCAACCAAGATTTCTAGTAGCCTACAGGACCCTTTGTGATGTGGCCTGGCCCTTACAGCCCATGTGACTGCATTTCCAGCATCCCACACCCCCTCTGCCGGAGGAACAGTGGAGCTCGCTGTCCTTGTCATAGGCCACACGCGTTCTAACCACAGGGCCTTTGCTTGTATCATTCTCTTTGCCAGGAGGCTCTTCTCCAAGATGGCATTTCATCATTCCCTGAGCTGCTCTGCTTAAGTGGGTTTGCACCGAGAAGATGGTCTTCCACAACCAGCGTATATGGAGTACCCACACATGCCTTGCCTCTGCCCTGAGCCTGTCTCTGTACCTGGCTCACTCGTGCTTAACGCTGTCTCCTGCAGTGAGACTGTTGTGCTCGCTGCTATACTGCTGGCCCCCACACTTGTGGAATAGATGTATTCATCTAATAATTTCCCAGCGTAACAGAGTAGCATGCAGGACTCTTCCTTTAGCTGGTCCTGTCCTGCTCCGACCTTCTCTTCTGTTTCTCTGCCCCCGAGGCTCTGCTAAGCCGTGCCCTTCTGGGTGGCATGGCACTCCCCTCTAGCATTCAGCTCGGTGCTTTTTTCTTTCTGTCCTACTAGTTTATTGTAGGACAAATCTTATTGTAGGACTTCTTCCTGAAGTCCGAAATCTTCTTTATCGCTGTAGAACATTTCTCCATGCTAAGCCCTGTTGTCTGTCCTGGAGATGCCGCTCATGATCTGGGGGTTCCCGCAGTGCAGAGCAGAATGGTGCACCATGGCTGTCAGCAGTGCCAAGGACAAGACCTTCTAGGTACACCTTAGGTGCTTAATAAATCAGTCACTATCATTGTTCTTTTTTCTCTTTTGCTGGATCGCCTTAGAATGGTTTAGCATTGGTTATAACATTTGGTTCTTTATTACATGACTGTAGATGTTTGTCTCAAGTTTGCAATATACGATGGCAAACTTTTGCATTTCTAAATAAAGAGTTGGTGATTAAAAAAAATTTTAATGTTTATTTTTGAGAGAGAGAGAGACCGAGTACGAACTAGGGAAGGGCAGAGAGAGGGGGAGACACAGAATCCAAAGCAGGCTCCAGGCTCTGAGCTGTCAGCACAGAGCCCGATGTGGGGCTCAGACTCACAAACTGGGAGATCATGACCTGAACCGAAGTCAGACGCTTAGCCAACTGAGCCACCGGGGCTCCCTTTTTAAAAATATACATATGTTAATGTTTATCTATTTTTGAGAGAGAGAGAGCAAGCGAGCTGGGATGGGGCAGAAAGAAGGGGAGACACAGAATCCAAAGCAGTACCCAGGTTCTGAGCTGTCAGCACAGAGCCTGATGTGGGGCTTGAACTCACAAACTGTGAGATCATGACCTGAGCCAAAGTTGGATGTTTAACCAACCGAGCCACGCAGGCGCCCCTTTCAAAAAAAAAAAAAAAAAAGATACACACACACATACATTGTTTATTTAGTTTTAAGAGAGAGAGAGACAGTGTGAGCTGGGGAGAGGCAAAGAGAGGGGGAGACACAGAATCTGAAGCAAGAGTTGGGTGATTTAAAAAGGTAAAAGCAGGGCGCCTGCATGGCTTAGTCAGTTGAACAAATGCTCCTGATTTCAGGTTAGGTCATAATCCCAGGGTTGTGGGATTGAGCCCCATGTCAGGCTCAGTGATGAGCATGGAGCCTGCTAAAATTCTTTTTCTGTCTAAAATAAAAAAAAAAGTTTTAAAGGTAAACGTAGTATGTGCTCATGAAAAAGTTTCAAGCAGACTAGAAGGGTATGAAGTGTTAAAAAAAAAAAAAAAAAAAGATCTATGCTCCAGAATTAAGAGGTAACTATTGTTATGTCTTGTATAAATCTTTCTATATTACTTTCTTAACATGTGCTCTGAGATATCAGAAAGGTAGATTTGTCAAGAAACCTGTTGTCCTCATGGGATGAAGTCCTAGATATTGCTGATCAGCTCAAACACCTGGAATTTCTCAATCTCAGGTATGAACTCTTGGATGTCCATTTGTCACCTGATCTCTCCCCTTTCCTCACGATATCACTGTGGGAAGGAAGGGGGAGACAACTTACTGGAATTGAAGCCTAACTTAGTCTCACTTTTTATTTAACTTATTCTTTAATATTCTTTGGTTATCGTGGTTTTTCATTTTTTCAAATGGTCACATGAGGTGACTCACCAATAGGGGTGTGTTTTACTTTTAATCTCTACACCCAGCGTGGGGCTCGAACTCACAATCCTGAAATCAAGAGTCGCACGCTTTATTGACTGAGCCAGCCAGGCATCCCTTTTTTGGGGTGGGGGATGGAATGTGTTTTCACTTTTGATTGGCTGGGGGTGGGTTGACCTGGTGAGCAAGGAGATCTTCATATTTTTTGTGAACCTAACCAGGAAGGTTTGGCCATCTGGAGGAGTTGGTCTGTAACTGAGGAGTAGGAGAGGTGCTATGAGCAGTGCTTGTTTGGGGCACCTTGGCTGACTCAGTCAGTGGGATGTGCAACTCCTGATCCTGGGGTCAGAAGTGCGAACCCCACGCTGGGTGTAGAGATTACTTAATAAAATCTTTAAAAAAAAAAAAAAAAGTGCTTGTCCATTCTGAAGCTTCTAGCATTTAATTGCTTTCAGAATGAATAATTTCATTGGACCACTGTTTCGTTCAGTTCTGATCAGGATTTTCCGTCAATCTACGTGTTTCCCTAAGGCCACGGTTTTCCAGGCCTTTTCAAATTCTTGCTTAGTTTCAATCTCTGAACCTAATTTTCCAAGGGCTTAGCCAGGCATCCCCTTTCATACTCGAGCCAGCTTTACATATACAAGTGGGTTGTACCCGGTTCAGGCAGATTCGATTATAGCAGGTAGTCAGGCCGAAATGAATTGTGCTTCAAATAGAGCAAAGGGTGTAAGTTGACCTGCTGCGTCCCCTCTTCTGGAAATAATAGCTAATAATAATAATAAATGTTTTAATGGTATCTTCTTTCAAAAAGACTGTCAGGGGGTGCCTGGGTGGCTCAGTTGGTTAAGCGTCCAACTTCACTCAGGTCATAATCTCATGGTTCATAAGTTTGAGCCCCAAGTCAGGCTCTGTGCTGACAGCTCAGAGCCTGAAGCCTGCCTCAAATTGTGTCTCCCTCACTCTCTGCCCTTTCACTGCTCGTGCTATCTCTCTGTCTTTCAAAAATACAATAAACATTAAAAAGACTTTTATTTTTTAACAAAATAAAAGGACTGTCAGGATTGAGTCCTTTCTGAGATGAGGATCATGGGAGAAAATTGAAAGGGTGGTGATTTATTGGATCCATCCTAATGGAAAAGAGGGGTTTAGAGACTCTGGAGAAGGAAAATTCTAGCTTTTGTTATAGCGTGTCAGTAGGACTAATAGCCTGGACTCCCTTAGGTTTTAATTAATCCCATTTTTTAATAAAATGTTTGTTTATTTTGAGAGAGTATTAACAGGAGGGGGTTGGGGGGGAGAGAGAATCACAAGTAGGCTCCACACTCAGCAGAGAGCCCGACGTAGGGCTCAATCCTATGAACCACGAGATCATGACCTGAGCCAAAACCTAGAGTCGGACGCTTAGCCAACTGAGCCACCCAGGCACCCTTAATTTCACTTTAAGGTGGAAACAAATCAAATTCCTCATATTAAATCCCAAATTGTTGCTTCCTGTGACTTTCACTCAGGCCTACTGGAGAGCAAGCAATCAGCACATTGTGTTTCTCTTTCTACACAGTGAGAATAAACTAAACTTTCCCTCGGATTCACCATCTCTCACCAGAACATTTCCTGCACTGAAGGTTTTAGTCCTTAACCGGACAGGAATAACATGGGCTGAGGTAATCATATTTCTTTGGTGTATTACCCAGAGATAAGAAATTTTAAATTCTTGGCTTAATAGGGAATCGAGGCACAACTGTGGCTTCATTCTAATCATCTTGTCCAAATAATATATATATATATATTATCCAAGTAATATATCTATATATTATCGAAATATCTTGAAACTGCCTCACAAAAAGGAATTACAAAATTGTTGTAATGAAGTAGAAGTTTCTGTGTTGGGATCCGTGTTCTCTCTCTCTCGGCTCCTGATTTGTTCAGCTGTCTTTCTAGACGGTTGGCGCTCCGTGGTGCTGTGCAGTTAACACAGGCTGAACTTTGAAAGCCCTCAAGTTAGCTATGGCTTTTAGCTCGCCGTGTTTTCCCGCAAGTGCTCCAGGCGGAGCTGCCCAAAGGGTCTCGCTTCCTCCTCTTGTTGCAGTTTGGCTGCTGCAGGTCCGCTGTTCATCCTATACAGCTGGGTTCGAAGTGGGCTCGCGGCTCCTTCGCCTGGCAGCGTTTGGGGTTTATATCTGGCACTACTATTTTCTATCCGAGGTTAACTGACCTCCCACACCCAGAATATTCCTTTTTCGAACTACTGCAGATGGGGGCATACCCCGGCGAAGTGGTTCATCTATGAAATGCCACTGAGGCACCTTCCTTGGAGATGAGTCGCCTCTGCCTGGTGCACTTGTGTCCTAGGGCTGCTTCCTGGTGAGTGTGTTCAGGTTTAGCACTGGAACAGGAAGGGCACTTGGAGATGCAGGTGCTGGGGACAGTGGTGAAGTGCAAGTGAGGGAACTGAGAAATCACAGTCGTGAAGTACCGTCCGATCAGCGTACTCTGCAAACCCAGGGTGGCGTTGAGCATTGAGGAGAAGGGGTTGACATCAAGTCCTTTCCTCTGGTTAAGCAAACTGTCCATGTCTGCAAGTCCACCTCTCAGGAACCTTGTGCAGTTGTGGACGCCCCTGGATGGCACGTTCACGGCTACCTCGGAGGGCTCAGGGTGCCCGATGTATATGCGTCCGTGTCATTAAAACACAGCTTTTAACATTTAAATTGTATCGCCAGTCCCGTAGCACTCCTGGGCCGAATTAGAGCCTGGATGAAATGTCTGTAGGGCACTGTAGGTCTCAAACACTAACTGAACTGAATTGATAGGAAGGTATAGTAATAAACACCTGGGAAGAAACTACAGGCCCTGACCCATTTCCCTTCTAGGTGCTGCGGTGCGCCCCTGGGTGGCCGGTCCTGGAGGAGCTGTACCTCAGGTCTAACAATCTCTCCATTTCAGAAAGGTAACAAGGGCCCACGTACTCGCCTGTCACCATTCAGTTATCCTGAATAAATACATGATCTCCATTACACCCAACACTAATTTTTTTAATGTTTATTTATTTATTTTGAGAGAGAGAGAGTGGCAGGGGGGGAAGGGGCAGAGAGAGAGAGGGAGAGAGAATCCCAAGTGGGCTCCACGCTGTCAGCACAGAGCCAGATGTGGGGCTTGATCCCATGGACTGTGAGATCACAACCTGAGCAGAAATGGAGTCAGACACTTAACCGACTAAGCCACCTGGGCGCCCCCCCAACATGATTTTTTTTTAAGGATTTGCAAATAAGAGTTGGAAAATGCATGTTACTCACAAATTACAATGTCAGCTAATTTGTTCTAGTTGAGGAAAAGCCCATCTGAGTGAAAGCCTTGAATTAAACATTTGAAGACAAGAACGTTACTAGCTTCACAAAAATATAGTTAACTTCTGTTTCTAAATGGAGGTTCTGGAGGAAATGCTTTAATCCGGATCAAATCCTGCATCGTAGGTAACACTGTCTGTGGAAGATTGGTGAACCAGAGTCTGTGGAAAAGCTTAGTCTTTTTAAGTAAATTAAACATGTTGTCTCCTCTTTGTTTTGTTGATGTCATTAAATTACCATGAAATGAAACGGGCAAATTTACAACACATTCCCAATGAAAGGATTCAAACTAATGAGATTTTACTGTATGGAACAATTTACTATACAGGTGAATGCAGGTGTTTTTAAACTAACCCGTTTATTTGGGGATAATTTGAGGTTCACATACAGTTACAAGAAAGAACACCCAGAGCTCCCCTGGACCCACCACCCACTTTCCCCCACGGGTGCGATACCACAGCCAGGATCTTGAAGCTGGTCCGTCCACAGAGAGGACATTTCCAGTCCCACAAGGCCCTTCCTGTTGCCCTTTCACAGTCCTGCCCACTCGCCGCCTGCCCCCTTCCCCTCCTTTACACCAAGTGCAAGTAGTTTGAAAGATACCTTTGAAAACAAGTAAGAGATTAAATTCACGTTGAAACACTTTGATTTTCCACACAGGCCGGTGGATGTTCTACAGACAGTCACGTTATTAGACCTTTCCTCGAATCCATTCATTGATGAAAATCAGCTGTTTCTAATAGCATATCTGCCCAGGTAATTTGCTCCTAAATGCTGTTACAGCCGCACTTAGGGAGTTTTCAGTGAAGGGATCGTAGGCTGTGTGCGCTTGCTCAGGTGGAACTCGCACACTGAGGAATTCCCTTTGGGAAACTTTTCTCGGAATTTGTGTAGAGCGGGTACTGGCGAGCCACTTACCGCGTAGTCTGTGTTTGTCCCAGGGACCTGGTGGGGGCGGGGGTGGGGGATGGGGGTAATCTGGCCCGGGCGCTAACGTCAGAAGTCTTCATTCATTAAACTTGGGGAAGTCAGACCATGTCTCTTTCGTCTTGGAGACCCATTGGCTCATGGCGCAGCCGCGGGCACCAGGAGCACTTAGGTGACCAGGGAGCCCTCCCAAGGTAGCGCAAGCAGTCCTCTCCGTGTGCCCTCAGCCAGTCTCTGGTTTCTAAGCATTTCACGAGGCACGAAAACCTAGGGTGGGGGAAGAGAATTACAAATCTAGTCTGCTTGACTGCGTATAGCGCTGTATATTGTTCCTTGTAATCAAATTTAATATTTTAAATTTCAGATTAGAACAACTAATCCTTTCTGACGTTGGAATTTCTTCTTTACATTTTCCGGATGCGGGAACTGGTATTTGAGATCATTCACTCCACTCCCCCCGCCCAGTAGCCCAGACTTCAGCTCTCTCTTTCACTTCTGCCATGTAACTTAATTCTCCTTTTTTCCAGGGTGCAAAACATCAATGTTTCCTTCCTTGCAATACCTGGTAGTAAATGACAATCAGATCTCACAAGTAAGAGCCCCTTCACAGTGTGCACACTGCGCCATCACTCACTTCCACTCTCCTGATGGAGTTTGCGGGTTCCTTCTGTTAACGGATATTTTACTTTAAAAATATTCTTTATGAAGTTTTTAGCTTTAATTCCAGTATAGTTAACATGGAGTGTTATATTAGTTTCAGGTGTACAGTACAGAGATTCACCATTTCCATACGGTACCCAGGGCTCAACATGATATGTGTGCTCTCAATCCCTATCACGTGTTTCACGCACCGCCCCCCCCACGCCCCTGGTAACCATCAGTTCTCTACAGTTCTCTGTAGTTCTCTACTGTTAAGTCTTAGTTTGTCTCTCTTTTGTTTTCCTCTGTTCATTTGTTTTATTTCTTAAATCCCACCTGAGTGAAATCACATGGTATTTGTCTTTCTCTGGCTGATTTATTTCACATAGCATAATACTTTCTTGCTCCGTCCATGTTGTTGCAAATGGCAAGATTTTATTCTTTTTGTTGGTTGAGTAATATTTTGCTAGATATAAAATCTTGCTATTTGCAACTGTATATGTATATATATATATATATCACATCATCTTTATCCAGCCCTCTATTGATGGACACTTGGGCTACTTCCATGATTTGGCTCTTGTCGATAATGCTGCAGTAAACACAGGGGTGCATGTATCCCAAAGCTAGTGTTTATGCATTTTCTGGGTAAAGACCCAGTAATGCAATTACTGGATTGTACAGAGTTCTATTTTTTTAACTTTCCGAGGACCCTCCATACCATTTCTCACAGTGGCCACACCAGGTTGCATTCCCACCAGCAGTGCACAAGGGCTCCTTTTTCTCCCCACCCTCGCCAACACTTGTTGCTGCTTGTGTGTTTGCTTTGAGCCATTCTGACAGGTGTGAGGTGATCTCTCACTGTTGTTTTGATTTGCATTTCCCTGATGATCAGTGATGTTGAGTACCTTTGCTTGTATCTGTTGGCCATCTGGATAGGTTCTGTGGAGAAATGTGTTCATTTCTTTTGCCCATTTTTAATTGAATCACAGTGAAACCTTAGTTGCAAGCATAATTCGTTCCGGAAACATGCTTATAATCCAAAGCACTCGTCTATCAAAGCAAATTTCAAGAACCACTGCCTCAGTTGTGATCACGTGATGTTCGGCCTCACGTCCTACTTCTATTTTAAGACATCGCTCATTTATCAAATTAAATTCATTAGAAAAGTTTGCTCGTCTTGTAGAACACTCACGGAACAAGTTCCTTGCAACCCAAGGTTTTCCTGTATTTGTCTTTTGGGTGTTCAGTTTTTTAGAAGTTCTTTACCTATTTTGGATACTAACCCTTTATTGGATATGTCATTTGCAATTCTCTTCCCCCGTTCTGTAGGTTGCCTTTTAGTTTCGCTGATGGCTTCCCTTGCTGTACAGAAACTTTTTATTTTGCCATAGTAGAAATATATTTTAGGTTGGAAGAGAAATGCTTCCTCAGGGTGAATCTCCTCAGAAAACCCAAAAATACTAACAAAGAAATTAGTTTAATTCACCCGTAAGCAGACGGACGCTTTACATGGCACAGGTCTTAGCGGGTGCTCGGTGCACAGGGAGGTGCTGTGCGTTGGAGGATTCTTGCTTTCCTCTTATTAGTTCAAGTAATTGGGAAAGTAGCCTGAAGCAGGCTTAATTTCATGGATTTTCTTCTGCCTGGGTTTCAGTGGTCATTTATCAACGAGCTGGACAAGTTGCAGAGTCTGCGTGCTCTGTCCTGCATACGAAACCCCCTGACTGAAGGAGGCAGCGGAGCTCAGACCACACGTCAGTTCATTATTGCCAAAATCGGTCAGCTGAAGACCCTGAACAAATGTGAGGTGAGCGCTTAGTATCATGATGAGGTATATTTTGGTGGTTTGTTTTGAGAGAGCGTGCACGCAAGCGTGTGAACTAGAGTACAGAGAAGAGGAGAGTGAGAGAACCTGAAGCAGGCTCCACGCTGTCAGCACAGAGTCCTGTGTGGGACTCGAACTCACGAACCGTGGGATCATGACCTGAGCCAAGATCAAGAGTCAGACGCTTAACCGCCTGAGCCCCCCACGCACCCCTGAATCTTGTGAAGGGTTCACATGTAGTTTTCCTCCAAGTGGTAAAATACTATCCTCGCACGTTATGAAGGAAATGTTTCCTTCCAACTCCTCAGGAGGTAGCGTCACTCAGGTGACATTAGGAGAGGTTGCTCAGCTGTCCCTTGAGGAGGGGTGGGGAGTTCTGGGCACTCGCTCCTTTTCCTGGGGGAGCGTAGGCAGCACAGAGCGCATCCTCTCCTCAGCAGCTCTGCTCTTCTCATAAAAGCGCCCAGGGGTGCCTCACAGCCCCGCACCACCGGCCTGCAGTATCGGCTCCCCCAGGGGTAGGGAGCACCTGCCACAGCCCGCACACCACCTCATGGACAAACTCTCATGCTTTTTCTTCGTCAGCAAACTCTTGAATTCAGTCCGTGTTCGCGAGGCAAGATAAAGCTATCATGAAGCATTCATTGTCCCTCTCAATTTGATTATTGTGTGTGTGACAGTGGAGGAAGGACGGGGTATGAAATGCACAAACACTCATTAGAAAAACACTTGAACAGGGGCACCTGGGTCGTTCAGTCAGTGGCTCAGTGGAGCTGACTTCAGCTCAAGTCATGATCTCTTGGTTCGTGAGTTCGAGCCTCATGTCGGGTTCTGGGCCGACAGCTTGGAGCCTGGAGCCTGCTTTGGATTCTGTTTCCGTCTCTCTCTCTCTCTCTCTCTGCCCTTCCACTTATTATCTCTCAAAAGTAAACAGACATTAAAAAACACCTTAATAGACCTGTTCTTATTCACATTAATACAGATTCTACCAGAGGAAAGGCGTGGGGCTGAGCTTGATTACCGAAAAGCATTTGGAAATGAATGGAAAAAGGCTGGCGGACATCAGGATGCAGACAAAAACCGACCAAACGAAGAATTTCTTGCAGCCCACCCCAGATACCAGTCCCTCTGCCTGAGTACGTACGTGAAGCCCCTCGCCCTCTCCTGTGGCATGTTCCTCCCCCTCCACCCCCTGTGGTGTTACCCTTGCAGGTGGAGATCAAAGGGGACCCTCAGTGCCATTGCTTTTCTCCTCTGGGGGTCTTCATACTCCTCTGAATAGCTGATAGGTGCTTTCCTGGGGCCACTCCGGCAAGTTGGGAGCAAGAATTAAACTGCTGCCTTTAAGGAAGAGAAGTCAGCTGCAGTCTCTGCAGAAGGAACCCGGGAAAGTGTCCGGGCTCTGGAAGGGAGAGGTTGGTGTTCAGGGAGGGAAAGCAGCTGTGAGGTGCAAGTTCTCTTGTTCACGTGCTCACTGGACTCCCCACTCGAGGAGTCAGTACTCTCCCTCCTTTAAGGGGGGGCAGGAAGCGGTCCAGTGTATCTCGACTCTGCTTGTAACTGAGGACATTTTAAACCTTAAGGGGCACCTGGGGGGCTCAGTCAGTTAAGTGTCCAGCCCTTGGTTTCGGCTCAGGTCGTCATCTCACAGTTTGTGGGTTCGAACCCCACTTTGTGCTGTGTGCAGACAGAAAGGAGCCTGCTTGGGATTCTCTCTCCCTCCCTCTCCCTCTCTCATTGCCCCTCCCCTGCTCACACTGTCTCGGTCTCAAAAATAAACAAACTTAAAAAAATGAACAGATGTTAAGGTAGAACCTGGGCGTTGGTACTTAAGCTCCCCAGCTGATTCTGCTGTCCAGGAGAGTCTGGACGAGTGCACAGTACTCGTTCAGCGCTCAGTCCTGAGGGCTCCCTGCGTGCCTGTCCCCTGCCACTTTGGGCACTGGGTACCCAAGGTGCTTCTTTACCTTCGCCAGCCTGGGAAGGCATGACTTTATCTTTGTCCCTGATGTAACTTTCCATTTTGTTCTGACTTCATTATTATTCCAAATTTCACTTTTATGTGATTGGTGTGTGTGTGTGTGTGTGTGTGTGTGTGTGTGTACACATTTATTTCCTAATACAAGAAGCCCACTGCTTGAGGCTGGAAACATTATCTTTGAGGAAGAAAGGCTGCCTACGGGAATTGCTTTCAAATCACTCTATGAGCTGGCCCAGTTTCCCGGCCACCTCAGGTGAATTCTGAAGCACCTGGGGAGGGGACGGGACCGGTCGGGAAGGGAAGGTTCTAATGCATTCCTGCACACATGCTCAGTATTTCACAGCCGAGAACATTCCAAGACCAAAGCACAGATACTTGGGGGCATTTCTAGAAATGCAGTCTCTGGTTGGCCCTGCAGAAGTTCAAGCAGGAGGGTCTGCCTTTCCTGACGTCCTCCTGTCGGGCCTCTTACCCGGGGGGGCAGGGGGGGAGTGCCACACGCTCAGCCTGGCATCGCGCTCTGGCTGGGACTTGGTGACCTGTGCACTGTGTCCCAGGTGGCACCAGCCTTCTCTCAGGACCCAGAAAGCGGGGGAGCTGTCAGCAGAGGTGAAACTTTGAATAAGTGTCTGCAGCATCTGAAAGCCCAGCTGCTGGCTTGAGTCAGGGCCCCGCCGTCCATGCGGATCTGGGACGGGACACAGCTGGCGGAGGCCCCGGGCTTGTGAGCAGTTGTCGGCCACCCTTCCTAAAAATAAACAAGTAACCAAATAAAAGGAACCCGCTGCCAGGTGTGCACGGCAGCTGCTGCGAGGTTTATCCCGGGGAGGGAAAAGGCTGCGCGAACACTTACCTATTTGTATTTCTTCTTCAGGTGGCCTCAGGTGTATCATTCATCCTTTTTTATTTCTTCTTACGCAGAATATGGTGCACCTGAAGACGGGGAACTCAAAACACAGCAGCCGTTTTTGCTCAAAAACCAGCTACTAAGTAAGAACCTTACACTCACACAGCGCGTATTTGTATTCGTGACCTGAGGTGCGGAAACAGATAGTGATGAGCTAGTAGGGATTATGTCTCTTAAGTACCTAAGTGAGTACTTCAGTTTTTAGAGAAATGATGAATTCTCAAGCCTGTCTAAATTCTTATATTGGGAGGGTGCCTGGGTGGCTCAATTAAGTGACGTCAGCTCAGGTCATGATCTCACAGTTCATGGGTTTGAGCTCCACGTCCAGCTCTGTGCTGACAGCTCTGAGCCTGGAGCCTGCTTCAGATTCTGTCTCCCTCTCCCTCTTTCCCACTCATGCTTGTTGTCTTTCTCTCTCACTCAAAAATAAACACATAAAAAAAATTTTTTTTTAATTTTTTCTTATATTGAACATTTTGTCAGTTTTCATGCTTTAGACTCAATTGTGTTATAAATGGGCAGTATGTTGTAAGTGAATGGACTTATGATTTGTAAATTTGTGACTTTTCTTACACTGGAATACACAGCCGAATTCTCAGGAAAGGACTAGGGGAGAAGAGAAGGCATGAGAATGTTGGTCCAGCTATTTTTGTGTTGTTGTTAGTCATTCTGGGAAGTATTAACAGAAGGGATTTTCAGTATCGGTAAGACCTGTTCCTCTATTAGGGTTTGAGCCAAGCTGGACTGAGCAGCCTTTATCATTTGTCAGCTGCTGTTAACATGTATGTGTAATTTAAAGCCTCATTACAGTAGCTCTCAGTCACTCTCTTTCCTTTTTTCCTTCAAGCACTGAAGATAAAATATCCTAATCAAGTTGATCAGAAAGTCACAGAAAAACAACTGCCAGGTAAGAAAAAGGCTTTTCTGGTCCTTACACTTATGAATTGCTGGCCTAGGAGTTGGTTGAAAGGAAAGTATCTGAACTTCTAGAGCTTGTATCTTTTATGATCTCAAATACAGCTAATCGTGCTAGCATCATCTTCCCCCCGCCAGAAGCGGGAGTCTCCCATAACCAAATCAGCTTATGTGGGAAAGTCCCAGTTAAACCGGAAGCCCTTATGTGCGATTACATCTTCAGCCAAAGGCATGAGGCCTGGACTGGCTTGGCCTTTCCTACGCCCACCTCGGTTTAGTTCTCAAATTGTTGCTCTCGTCCAGAGAGACCGTTTCACTGGACTCGAGGTCTGTCTCACCAGCCCTTCGTAAAATGGGAAACGTGTCCTAGTGACCCGAACTATGAATTATTTAGACATCTGTGACTTCTCATACACTGGACTCCTTACCAACCAGGAGTCCCTGCAGAAAGTTCTCGGACGTTGTCTTTTAATGGGAACAGTAGGTTTTCTTTGAAAAGCTACTTCAGAATTCTGTCTAAACATTAGTGTTGCTGGAACTGAATTCGTTTTATTCCGAAAATACTTCTATATCAACAACTAGATTGATCTAAGCGACCTTAAACTTAGAAAAAATTACAGCCCATCTTTTGAGTATATTGTGAATTCTCAAGATTAAACTTGACTCCTAGTTACACAGTAATATCAACAGGTTAAATTTAGAGCAGTGAGGATTTGCCCAGGAAATGGAATGTAGATCACCATAAATGACTCTAGCAAAATACTTTTGTTTGCCTGTCAGTACAGTAAATTCATTTATTTTTCAATTAATTTTTATCAAATCCTATAAGCTTACAGTATCACTTCCGGAAGGGCTTTTGCTCACAGGGCTACCTCTCTGATTGTTAACTGTCATTTAATACCGGTTTACCAGCACTGCTCCATTTTAATTAGCAATCTAATTTCTATTTCTGTGATCTGTAATTCTGCTGTCAGATCACCAGGAATTAAGAGTAGTGTCTCCCCTTTGGTTATGCTGTTTTCAAACTGAAGTCCTGGCAGTAAAGACACTCATGGGGACAGACCTGTGGGAGCCCAGAGCGTCTTGTTAACGTAGTTGGCTTTGGATACGTGTTCGTTTTTCCCTTTAATTTCCAGATCCATGAAATCACCTCATGGGGATGTTATCACTAAGGAATGTTTGCTCAAGTGTTGCTAGACCTGAGTGAGGCTTTCTGTTTAAGGGCTTCTTCGGGGCAGGGCACCAAGCTCCATTGGTCAAGGACTGAGCCTGGGTTTGCGCGGGACTGTGGTTCTGGGAGGATGGCGACAGGGTGGGCTCAGCCTCTCCCACCCTCCACATGTGACTGTGTCCCAGTTCTTCTGCGATCCGGTTCTCCCCGGAACACCCACCGTGCTCATGCTCTGATGTTTATTAATCTTCAGGTGGACCCAGCAGAGTAGAATCGTCCATAGAAATTATATGTACTAATTATGGCTTCAAGCAGTGCAGAATCTTGAGATCTGTATTCTCTAAACTTGGCAGCAAGCCAGCGGGTTCGAACAGTTCTTGCAATTAATTTTTATGCCACATGCTGTCAATATCTAGCCACTGACCTAACTGCTCTTTAAAAGGTGATAAATAAGGAAATGTAAAATACGGCAACATGATTTTTCTGCCCATCAGATTAACCCATAATACATACTATGTATGTATTTAATACATACATAGTATGACCAAGCATTCTACCTTGTAGCACATGTAATGGTGAAGTTAAAAACAAATGTTCACCAGTGGAGAAATAAATGGTTGAATAAGTTTGGGCAGGACCACGCACTGCAGTATCGTGGGTCACTAAGGAGAATGAAGTAGGTCCAGAGCCGCACTGGCCGGTATGGCTGCCATGAGCCACAGTTTAAATTCATTAAATTGAAATAATAAAAATCAGTTCCTGAGTCGTACTGACCGCACTCTAGTTTGAGTGTGGCTCACTAGCCACACAGAGCGGCCATGCTGGGCTGTGCAGGTCTAGAAGAACTGGTGTGAAGGGGTAAGAGATGTACCACCATAGATGAAACCTATCCATCCTTCTAAAAATGGAGGAATGCCTGAAAGTGTACACCGTTAAACTTAAAATTTTTTTTAATGTTTTATTTTTAAGAGAGCACAAGCAGAGGAGAGGCAGAGAGAGAGGGAGACAGAATCTGAAGCGGGCTCCAGGCTCTGAGCTGGAGTCAGAGGGAGGGACAGGGCCAGTTAACCATCTACATTTTCTGAATGTTAAGATAATCGTGTTACTTTTATAATAAGAAAGGTCTTGTTACTTAGAGTATTATATGTACGTTGCTGTGTTTTTCTAAAGACACAGTGTGAGTAGGCAGGTTTCTTACTAGGGTTCTTCTATGACCAGATTTTGTGTCTGACGGAAGTTAGGAATGTGCCTTTCCCTGTTGCTGTGAAGGAGTTAACCCATCGCTGCTCACCCTCCAGACCAGGAAAGCCAGTCCACCTAAGTGTTTTGAAAGGACAGGATCATCTACACAGATTCACACGTAAAAGAACAGGTTACGTTCATATAAATGTCAATTAAGTGTTTATATTCAACACATAAATAAGGCCAGTTTTTATTCTAAAATAAAGATAACATTTATTATCACAAGTTGCATAAAAACACACAGCTTTTACAAAAATCATTTTTGATAGAAAAATATTTGAATACATGTGATATTTGTAGGAACACCGTACTATTGCTGAACTCCAGCTAAAGCTTCAGAGAAACTGTATTTCTCATCATCAAAACATCCAATATTTACCACAACCCATCTTTGGAAAGAAGTTCATAGCGTTTTCTGAACAAACCAAAGCATTTGCTCACCGGGTCATTCCCCCATGCGAAGCGCGTTTACATGTCATCAGACTGGGCGTACTCAAAGGGAGCCGATAGGCCCCTTGTCCTCCCTCACTCCCCAGGGAGGAAACCGAGGCAAAAAGATGGACAGATGTCCTCGGGATGCCCCACCCCAGCATTCTCTCAGCCATCCAGAAGTGAGTTATCACAGAGTAAACCGTTTAGGAAGTTCATGATTTTACTCACATTTGCTCCTCTGGGCAGAGAATAGGGTCTCTGGTTTCTTCAGAGTAAGGAGGAAATAGAAACCCCACTGAACTGGTAAGGAAGAGCCATCATCAAAGGGCACTTGGGTCAAACATTGGCTCCGATTCCCCCACCTTTCCGAACCTCCAGTAAGGGGCATGGACCCGGCTCGCGCCGTCCCTGGGCAGGTGGGCCTTTCCCTAATGATCTATGCAGGTAAAGGGACACTGAGTCACTGCGACTGTGGGCTTGTCATGTGAGCTAGTTTTACACGGAACCGTCATTCGAGGGACCTGAGGGTGTGTCTTTTCTTTGACAGACTCCATGACGGTTCAAAAGGTGAAGGGACTGCTGTCGCGTCTTCTCAGAGTTCCCGTGTCACGACTTCTGTTGTCCTACGAAAGTCCCAAAGTAAGGTGCCCCGCGAAACGGAGTCAGGCTTAGGTCCCCCAGTAAGACGCGTCATTCACCCGCGGCTCTTTATAACTCAGCTGGAGTCTGAATGGAAAACAGACAGCCCTGCTGTAGTAAGACAGCCCTTTATTCTGGTTTTAGATGCCTGGCAGAGAGATCGAGCTAGAGAACGACCAGCAGTCATTACAGTTCTATTCTGTGGAAAATGGAGACTGCCTGGTAGTGCGATGGTAACAGCCGACGAATCAAGTCCAGAGACTCCACCGTTTTACCACGACGGGGTCACTGGATACGAAAGACTTACCGGAACAGTTCTGTCAAAAAAAGGTTTTACAGCTCGCCCTAAGTAGAGAAAAGGTGGTATTTTTCACTGGGAAGAGACCATTTCTAGGCATGTATGTACTAGAAGCTGCAAAGCCTTTATTACTGCTAATGATTTTCTGATTTTACTTCGTATTTATAGTTCACGACTACAGATTTCAATATGTGAAGATTTAAATATTAAATAGAACCAAGCTAATGAAATCTGCACACAGCTAATGTCCGGCATAAGACCAGTTTTAATGGAATTCTGTTGTTACTGCTAGCTTAAAAGGTTCCAAAATGATTTGGGAGGTCATTTTAGAAAATGTCCCTTAAACTTAGGGACGTGCCTCTTCTGTGTGTAATGCATATGCTACGATCTCTCTTGGCTGTTGCACTATTTTTTAGAGTACTTGCAAAAATGAATTCCATGCTTTTTCCTGCAGCTGTACCTAAACTGGGCATGTATTCTTCTCCAGAAGATCTGCCAGCCCTGACGGGAATTCACATAGTGTAGGGAACCATCAGGCAGTGACAGGAGGAAAGCAAGATTCATTCAGTAGTATCCTTCCCTACGTCACTAAAACCCTGAGAGGTATTTGATGCATATCCACAACATTTTAGCTTTTTTTTAAAATAGTACTAGACTGACCTCCAGAATTTGTTACATGGCAAAAGAAAACTTGAATTAGCCAACTCAGTAAGTGAACTTTAAAACCAAGGTCTCGAACTAACACTTCTATTGGTTCCTTTTCAAGTTCAAGTTGCCCACTTCAGACATGTCCAGACACCCCAAGCTTTGGTATCAGTGACCACACAGCATTCTGTGAGTTCTTTTTGGCCCTTAATTACCCTCATTATGCTTTACAGAACTATTCTGTAATTCAAGTTGAAATTCGCACTCTCCGTTACTACCCAAGATTTCTGAACTAGGCCAAATTTTAACCAAAAGTGATCATAATGAATTATAAACTAGAAATGATACATCAGGTTTTAGAAACTTTTTTGTTTTATAAAATAATTTGGTATTTTTCAAGTGTTCTTCCAATACAGAAATAAAATTTTTCTTATGCTACAGTATCAGTTGATTTTTAAAAAGGAAGTTTTGTGCAAACTTTTAGAAACATCACATTGGTTACAGGTAAAAAGCGCTAACCTAGAACAATCCTGAAAGCCCCATGGAATCTAGTGCCAAACTGTGGGCGCGCCTCCGACTCGGTCGCACACCCGAGTTACGCTCCCCCTCCGGCCGCTTCGCACTGACAGGGGTCCCCACACGCTTCCTTCAGCCTCCACAGCTGGGCCAGCTCCTGCGGGGAGTACTGCGGGGAGGACAGCATCCCGGGCTCGCACGTCTTCTCACACAGCCACAGGCCGTCCTGGGTAGAAACCAAACAGTGAACTCGGGAGCCGCGGAACTGGGTTTAAGGACCACAAATGCCGGCACAGAGGCCTTCAAAGACCCCTGTGGGTGAACCACTGGCAGGCGGAGTTCTGTGACCAGAAAGCCTGGGGCCGCAAATGGAAGTTTTCCCGGCGGCCATGAACCTCTGTAACAGCAGCTGTTCAAAAGGAATCTTCCAGTATTCTGGGGACAGCAGCAAGGGCTTTATAAATAAATACTGGCGAATTCTCCTAAAACACTGAGGAATCCTTTTACAATTGAGAAGCTGAGTGTGCGGTCCTCTGCCCAGGGTCACGGGGAGGGTGATCAAGGTGAGTGGTGCTGTTCAGGTGAACAGGAAGGACTGTCTTCACCCCCAGCTACTTCCCAGGGATACAGAACACAGAGCCTGAGAAACCCCTCCCGTCTAAGAACGTAAAGGTGTTGGATAGAATCAAAGGTCGGTGTGGGTCTCAGCCTTGATGCTGGGTGGGACGGGAAAGGGTCTGCCCTGAGCAGCTAGAGCCCTGGCCCGCACTGAGGGGGGTCTGCGGCACGTGTCCCGTTCGTCAGTGATGCCCTCTTCGTCAGAACGTGTTTTAAACACAGACCTCCATTTCCGAGGAACATGAGGTCACACACACCAGTCTCTCAGCACACCAAGAAACAAGGTCTGTAAGCAACATCAAACTACAGAATTAGGCCCACAGAGACCCCAGAGCTCACAGTTAGCAGATAACAGAACATTTTCACCGTTCAGGAAGTCAAAGATTGGACTTCAGTATGACACGACTATCAAAGCTGACCCAGCAGATAAGGGTTTATTCCCATTTGACCCCTGAAGCAAGGCGGCCCTGCTTTGGGTCCAGGCGCCAGGCAGAGGTCCTGTCTGGCAGGCCCTGCACACCCCTCTGCCCCCCCCCCCCCTTCTGTGGCCAAAGTGGAAGATGCAAGAATCCAAAAGTCAACAGAAATCTTTGAGGCAAAGCCCAGCTTTCTACCTGCTCTCTTCTCAGGGCTGTTTCCATTCTGGTCTCTGCAAATTCATTTCTTTTCCTGGCTCAGTGATCTGTATATTTTAAAAGACCCCTTACGAGGTTTGAACTCATGACTTCCAGATCAAGAGTCACATGCTCTACCGACTGAGCCAGCCAGGGGCCTGATTCCTTAAGGTTTTAAAGCTGCAAAGAATTTGACCAAACATAAAAACCTAATTCTTCTCTGTGGGTAGGAAAACTTCCATCTGAAACATTTCCTTTTGGTTTAAACTCAGAAAAATACCGTATGCCGACCTACATGGATTACTGTGCTTTGACTCAAGGGTGCGGCTCTGATCCCACATCTTTGATTCACGGTTTCTGCCCATCTGACCCATGACCCTGGCCTCCCGAGCGCCCCGGGGCCAGTCCCCCTCAGGCGTGCTTACCTGGTACCGCACGGGCCCTATGGCGGCCATCCAGATGCCCATGCTCACGTCTTCACCCTGTACGTGCCCGGAAAGTTGAAAGGCAAAAGTTTAAATGCTGTATCTGTCTTTTAAACGTGATGCCACACATTCCCATAATCCTCTACTTCTTTGTTTTCCTGTTACTCTACCAGGAAATGCCAAGCCTGTATTAACACCTATACACAGTTTTACTCTGTGGCTTTTACTGCCAGCGGCCGGCCCATTTCTCGTTGGCCTTAACCCTCCAGCACAGCCGTGTGAAGGACACTGTGGATCCCATAGCTGGGCGGCTCGTTCATTGCCACGGTCACCAGAATCAACAGAAAGAGAGCGCTTGCTTTATGGTTTTCCTTCTTAGGACAGTCAAGCTTTCCGTTCCTTCAGGGACTGTATTTATGAAATATAGTCTGGAAACATAAGTAGGCTCACGAAAAGGTTTAGGAACAGAATTTCGAGCCAGGATCTGACGGTGAGGACTGGGTCCCTGAGCTCTCTGAGGGGGAGTCCCTCGCGGAGGAACCACTATGCTTTCCCAGGGCCGCCGGCTCTGCGCTTAGCGGAGGAATCCCGTGCCGCGTGAGGCCTGGCTGGGGAGTTTATACTCTTAGGTCGGAAATGCCGAGTCACCTGGTAGGTCTTCAGTCGGCCCGCGTTGCTGGCCAGCCAGTGGACGATGTCCCTGGAGATCACGTACCCCGAGCCGCAGGCAAAGGCCGGGTAGGCGGGGCTGGGGTATTCCAGCTCCTGCCACTTGCCGGTTCGGTCAACTGCCCAGTTCAGCCTGAAACTGAGATTCAAAACAAGTTGGTTTCTTCTCTTGGCTTGAGCTCTGTCCTACCCCTAGGAGGCTGCACCCTTTACTGTTACTACAGGGGCTAAGCTGTAAAAGCAAGGGAAGAATGAGAACATGTTTTGAGTCGAAGGAAAGGAATTTTCTAGCTGGCAGGGGCGTCGCACAGAAGACTGGTCTATCAGAGTCTCTACGGTTACATCTGTGGGGTTTCTGCAGGTAACAGCCCATCTTGTGTCCGTCCAACACCCTCACCGATCCATGCTGCATTCCTGAATGGACAGCACTTTCAGAAATGTGTCACAAATTTATTCTAACTGCTCTTTTCAGGGCCACGAGGATAAAAGCCGTATCATTTTCCCTCCTTTGTTACATGAGCCTGAGGTTTTTCACTTTAAAGATGTTCCCTCTGATCGTCGGTGAACAGCCCACAGTGACCCAGGGGCCTGGGCGGGCGGCTTCCCAGCTCAGTCACCTCTTGCTGGCGGAAAAGAGCTGGCGTATTTCATTCTCGGTTCATTCCATTGGATCAGGTACCTGAAGGCCAAGGGGCTCACAAGCTTTAACTTACTTTCCCCACCAGAAATTAGGCCCGTCCAGATTCTTGTGGACAATTCTGTTAAACACAGCTTCCAAGTCTATGTAACAGTCGTCGTCCGTTTTTAGCAGTAAATCAAAGCTGGTTGTTTCCACAGTCCTGTTGGCAAAAGGGAACATGAAAGTTGGTGTGTCTGTACAAGGAGGTACAGCGACGCCAAGGCGGTGACACTGCTGTCCCCAAGCTGCCTATGTACCTTTTTAGCTTCTTATTCCTTCAATGCTGAGAGCATCTGCTTAGAACGCTGCTGCCAGCCGCAGTCCCCGCGGATGTCACTAAGGGGCGTGACACAGAGAAGTACCAGGCTGACTTGAAAAGGTGCAATTCAAAAGAGGGGCATCTGGGTGGCTCGGTCAGTTAGGTGTCCGACTCTGGATTGCAGCTCGGGTCATGATCTCATCCTCTGTGAGTTCGAACCCCATGTTGGGCTCTGTGCTAACGGCACAGAGCCTGCTGGGGATTCTGTGTCTCCCTCTCTCCCCCTTCCCTGCTTGCGCGCGTGCACACAACACACACACACACACTCTCTCTCTCTCTCTCTCTCTCTCAAAAATAAACATAAAAAATATGAAAGGAACAAATGAAAAAACAATTAAAAAAAGATGGCTTAAGTGGAACATAGGCTCAAACACCACTTCACTGGCCTTGCTCCAGCCAGGCCGCCAAATCCACTCAGCGTTCAAACCTTGTAACACGTGTGCGTGACAGTGGCCCAGGACGAGGGGACGGGTGTCACACGAGGCCCTGCACACAGAATGCTGCTGTACGAGATTCTCTGCCACTATTTATGCCGCACTCACGTATTTTATGGTTTTTATAAAACAGGGTTATGACGCTGAAATTATCTTTCCCCTTGGAAACAATTTCCAGCAATCAAACTATTATAAATGACCTCTAGGAGGCCCAGCAGGGGGACTTCATTTACCGAGACCTACACGAGCGAGGAGATGAAACAGACTTCTTCGTCTCACCCTGCCAATCCCTACGCAGCTCTGATTAAAACAAAACAAGACAAAACAAAACCCCCAGAGTCTTGCTAGGAAACCAGTCAAGTGACAGAAATCTGAATAAAAGAAATCTGGAGAAAATTCCACTGAGTCCAAGAATGGTGAATCTCACAACAATGGGTCCACACCAAATTGCAGAACCCTGTGCTTCTAAGGTTTACTTCTAATTAGCAGCACAGGCACACATACTATTGATTTGCTAATTAGGAGGCATTTTTTGATAAACGACACTGCACTGCGGTCGCTGAAGACTCAGCTGAAGAGGGCGGCTGGGAGCAGGTCCCCCAGCATAGGCCTGGAGGGTGGTGCAGGTGGGGACGGTGGCCCAGGACAGCGGCAGTAATGACTGAGGGGAGAGGCCAGGACCTCGGAGACGGAGCACCGGAGACAAAGCTGAGACTGATGGTAGTACCGACTGCCAATCAGCTCCCTAGAGAAAGCCCTAGAACTCCACAATCCACATTCTCGACTTCCTGGACCTCCTTTCCCTCTCTCCACCTCTTTATACTCTTCTCTTGGCCCTCTGAGCACAGGAACCCCTACTGGCGGCCTGGAGCTAAATAAAAAAGGTTCTTTTTCTCCTGCCAGTTGTCCAAACATAACCTTGGTGTTCCAGACATGCCCCAATTTCCAACTCTTATTTATATCTGCCCTCTCCCCACAGGGTGACCCCCAGATTGTATTAACCTGCCCTCACTCTGAAACATTATCTTCCATACACGGATCAGGCCGTCTCCCCCTCAGGACCAGGGGCCTGTGTCCACAGAGTACCCAGGACGACAGAGGGGAGAGGAAAAGACTCGGGGGCTCACCAAGAAACCAGCTCACTGACAGACTGTAAAGACAAAGATGTGAACACTATGGGTTTAGTCTAGATGGAGACATTAGGTGTTAGCTTTGCACTCAGGCTGGACAGTGTCCAAGGGCTTAATGACCCGTTAGGAGACCCTGGAGTAACTAGTAATATTAACTCCCCCACCTTCCTCTTTCCCTCCTTCACTCCCTCTCTCTCTATATAAAATAGTTTTTGTCGCCATTATTGATATAAGGGTAGGAATTACAACCAAGGTCTAAGAACTACTGAAGGGCTGGGGAAGTTACGGCGGACTCCAAGGGTTTTTGGATTTCGTCTACACCTAAAAGTTTTGGAATTAGGGCAAGCAGGTTTTTTTTAATTTATATATTTTTAAATGTTCATTTATTTGAGAGAGAGAGAGAGAATATGTGAGCATGGGAAGGACCAAGGATCTGAGGCATGCTCTGTGCTGATAGCAGAGAGCCTGGCACAGGGCTCAAACTCACAAACCATGAGATCATGATCTGAGCAGAAGTTGGACCCTTACCCGACCGAGCCACGCAGGCGCTCCAGGGCAAGTGGTTTTTAAACGCATGGAGAAGAGGATGGAAATATAATGTGCAAGTTCAGGTGAACACAATTCAGATCAGTAGCCTAGCTTCAAGGGAACTATATACTCAAGCCGTTTAGGTTGGTGGGTGTGAACACACCCATTTTCAAACTCACTGATTTTCATCTGATGTTGGCCTGAGACCACCAAGGCAGTGACTCAAAGGACTGACTCTGACTCCAAGAAGCTGGAGGACTCAAAATGAAATCAACTTTTGCCCTATTTTTGATAAAGACTATTCACATCATAGATCTGCTCATGTAAGAAAGAAAGCAATGGAATTTTAGAAGTTCTCACAAAGCACCAGGATACAAAAGATCACATCCCAGGTGTGCAGGGGCTTTAGGGTTGTTTAAAAAAAGAAATTCAGGGGCGCCTGGTGGCTTATTTGGTTAAGCATCTGACTCGACTTTGGCTCAGGTCATGATCTCGCAGTTGGGGAGTTCGAGCCCCGTGTTGGGCTCTGCTGGGACAGTGAGGAGCCTGCTTGGGATTCTCTCTCTCTTCCTGTTTCTGCCCCTCCTCTGCTTGCTTGTTCTCTCAAAATAAATAAACTTTAAAGAAAATTTAGGAGGATCCTGGGAGACTTAGTTAAGCGTCTGACTTCAGCTCAGGACATGATTTCACGTTTCGTGAGTTTGAGCCCCATATTGCACTATCTGTGCAGAGCCTGCTTCAGATTCTCTCTTGCTCTCACTCTCTTCTCTCTGCTCCTACCCCACCTGTACTGTACGCATGTTCTGCCTCTCAAAATTAAATGAACTTAAAAAAAAATTGATTGGTCTAATGCCGATAAATTGTTTCTACATCCAAAGAACAATACAAATTCTACCCGCCCAACAGTTTTTACAACCTACCATCTGTAGAAGTTCAGTAATTTTGCAGGAACGTTTCGGTAAGTGTCGACAACATCCACAAAAACTATATCGTCGTAGACGCTGCTCTCCTCCCTCAGTAAGGCATCTTCCCTGTGGAGACTACTCATATGGTCAAGAAGTCGTTGAGGGCGAGAGTGAAGGTTCTGTAAGAGGGCATCACCTTCTACAAAGAAAAAACCGAGAGCTGGAGAAACAAGCCATTGCAAACGGCGGCCCCAAACATGCAACGTTATGTGCACTCGCGCTCCTTCCCCAAGGTACTTAGCGCAGCGTGGCTGTTAGGGACCCTCCGCGCGGCCTGGATGCGCACATGCGCTCTCTGTGGAGAGCAATACAGCCCGTCCGGCACAAGGCGTGCACGCCGCGTGGCCCAGGAAAGGCCACTCAGACACAGCCCTAGCGACGGTATTTCACGTGCTCACAACGATGTTCCCTCCGCACTGTTAGTAACAGAAAATATGGCCCATCCACATCACCGAGGACAGCTATTAAAGAAATTACCCTGGGCGCTCAGTCGGCTAAGCATCCTTGATTTCAGCTTGGGTCATGATCTCAAGGTCGTGAGATCGAGCCCTGCATCAGGCTCTGCGCTGACCAGCGTGGACCGTTGGGATTCTGTCTCTCTCTCTCTCTCCCCATCTCTCTGCTCATCTCCCACTTGTGCGTGCTCTCTCAAAATAAACATTAAAAAAAAAAAAGCAGCAGGGACTGGACGGTTGCCGGTCTTAAGGCATCAATAGGGTTTAAAAAAAAAAACAAGACATTACCCTGATCTTGCATGTTGGGATGGATGGCGCTGAAGAATGGTGTGGAGGAAAGTGTATTTATTGCTAATCGATATATACAATCTGATGCCATAGAATCAATTTTTAAAACACTCTCATCAGGGGCACCTGGGTGGCTCAGTCAGTTAAGCTTCCAACTTTGGCTCAGGTCATGATCTTGCAGCTCGTGGGTTCAAGCCCGGTATCGGACTCCGTGCTGACTGCTCAGAGCCTGGGGCCACTTCAGATTCTGTGTCTCCCTCTCTCTCTGTCCCTCCCCCACTCATGCTCTGTCTCTCTTGTTCTCAAAAATAAATAAAAACATTAATAAAAAAAAGTTTAAAACATTCTCATCAAAACCGCATGTCATTTAAAGATAACTACACATGGGGTGGAAAGCAGAGGGACGGGAAGGTGCAGGCATCAGGACGGTGGCATCCTCTCCCAGGGCAAGGAGGGGCAGGGCTGGCACAACGGGAAGCCAGCAGGCTCCACCTGTATCTGAAATTTTTTTTTCCTTCAAAAAATAAAAAAAATTTTAAAAAAGAAGCAAGTAGGACAAAATGTGAACATTTGTTAATTCTGAGTAGTAAGTACATGCATGTTTATTATAGCACTCTCTATTTCTGCTGTATTTGGGCAATCTCATAATAAAAATGTGTTAAAAGACATCTAGTATCGCTCAAGTTCAGGAACCACTTGTCACGTCTGGGCAGGGACTGTCCTCAGATCCTGTCGCTTTCAGGTAGCAATTTTTTCACTGGGCCAGGATTTTCTCAAATGTCTCGATCAAATCAGAGAAAACTCTGTGATAAATAAAGTGAGGGGCTGAGGGGTGAGGACGGGAAACGGCAGTCATCTGGCCCCCCACCTTCTGTGCCCACATGGGGTTCTGGCGGCCTGAACTTGATTTCTGCCTCTGCCGCTGACTGCTGGGCAAGCTCTGCATTTCCAGGCCTGTCGACTTGCCGGGAAGAGGAGGAGGTGGGCCATGTGGTTGTCAGGACTCCTCACTGAAATACAGACGCCCAGGCCCGAGCCTGTAGATTCAGCAGGTCTGGGGTGGGGCCCAAGACTCTGCATCGTTAACATGTGACTCCCTCGAACTGAAGCAGGTGGACCACACGCTTCTGCCCTTTGAGAGACACAGGCCAAGATGACCCCATGTCTCCCCCAGCTCTTCTACTGTAATATCCTTGAGCTTTAAAGATAAATATATATGATTTAACACTTGAAGGCAAGTGAAAGTGTCAGAAAACTGAAGGAACAGGAGAACGGTTGTAAGAGAGCAGAAATTAAACATAGGCCTTTCAGATGAAAAACCACACATTTTGTTTCATATTGCATGTCTCTGAAAAACAGCATCAAGTGACAGGTGTGTGTGTTTTAAGTCTGGTGATCTGTCCAGGTGCTACTTAAAAGAACCACAGAGTTTACAGTCTCTCAACTTTTGGAAGCATCACATCTGTATCTAGGGAGACTGTTAAGATACAGACATCTGAGCTCCAATCCTAAAGATTTCAACTCTGTAGCTTGAGGTACGGCTCGGACGGCGATGCTAACACCCAACAAAATTTGCCACGTGACTGTTCTGAAGAGCACTTAGATCCTGCTTTTAAAAAATTAATTTATACTCAGATTTTCAGATGTACCCAGCACCCAGTACACAAGAAGACAATCTATTCATTTTCATTTCTTGAGCCTAAAACTTGAGTTACTTCATTCTTCCTTGAAAGTAATTTCCCCTCACCCAAACTTTATTCCTTTAGCTTCCGTGATGGAAAAATTATGACAAATTTTTGTCCAGAGTACAGTGGCTGTTCCTTGTAGAACGGTGTAGTGACAGAAGTCTCAGGGGCCCCTCAAACTAGTTTTTAAAGGCTCTGGGTGGTACATACTTGAATGAACTGGCAAAAGAAAGGAAGGTGCTAGATACTCAAGTCGGATGGTGTGCGAGCCACCAAGTCTGTGCTGCTTTAGGAAACTGCCTGAGTTCCTTATCTGAATTTTCCCCAGGGCTGGACTATTAGCTAGCTTCCTAGTGGGCTGATACCTTCCAGGGCAGCGTGGTCTCATGGTTTTATGTAAAATCTCTGGGCTGGAATTAAGTAAGGATCTCTAAATTAAAAAAATTTTTTTAATGTTTTATTTATTTCTGAGAGAGAGAGAGAGAAAGAGTGTGAGCAGGGGAGCGTCAGAGAGAGAGGGAGACACAGAATCTGAAGGAGGCTCCAGGCTCTGAGCTAGCTGTCAGCACAGAGCCCGACACGGGGCTTGCACCCACGAACCATGAGATCATGCCCTGAGCCCAAGTCGAAGGCTCAACAACTGAGCCACCCAGGCGCCCCATGGATCTCTAAATTTTAAATCGCTATTTTTTAATGGCAAGTTCATGGGCCAAACCTACGTACGTACCTATGTACAGCCCCATCCTTTGTGGTGATGTAAGAACATAACTACTTATAGGAGGAAACAGCATAACTAAGGGTGCTTTCGGCCACAGCCCATGGGCATCCTCAAACAGCACGCAGAGGTCCCGAACTGGGCTCTGCCCCAGCCTCAACGCTGTGCTATCAAGGGAGGCCCCAAGACCCTCCCCTCGGAATGTGACCTCTGTTTTCCCTACTCACTGCGAGCCTTCAGGGAAGCTGGGTCGTGGTTCCTTTATAGGAACCCGTGGTGTGCAGAGCTCTGAGATGTCAAGACAGAAATAGGACTGGGCACCTTTGTTGCATAAGTGATGTTCAGGACAGTGGCCAATAGCAACTGCATCAATGATGGTTTTTCTTTATTAAAGATCACAGACATAGAATTCTCCGGGATTCATAGAGGGATATTGAAATAAGCATCATGCAAGAAGACAAACATAGCTACTCACTCCATCATAACAAGTTCCCTTTAGAGTTTTAAGTGAATGCTTCTGACCCCAAGTTTTAAAGGAATCTTTAACAAACCCATCCTTGACCCATCTATTAGGAGAAGCATTTAAGAAACATGTACTCTGAGAAACAGCGTATGTTAAAATATTCACTTACTGAGGAGAAAGTGTACCTGTGAATCAGGAGGGGAAGGTGAGCCGACTGGGCTCCCTCCAACAGAGGGACAGATGCGGGCATCAAATGCACCGTGCCTGGATCAGGGGAGCCAAGGTTCTTCCCTTCTGATGGATAAGCGGCTCTGAGCCCACTCCAGCTCTATGGCCAGGGTCTCACATTCTGCACAAGTCCCTACCTGGCTGGAGGATGAACCAAAGGCAGCCACACGGGGCCAAGAAAGTCCAAGGTCAAGATCACCTTTATGGTGAAAGACTGGATGCTTTCCCTCCAAGAGCAGGAACAAGACAAGGATGTCTACACTGCCATTTCTACTCAGCACTGCCCCACACGTTCTAGCCACGCCACTTAGACGAGAAAAATCAATAAAAGGCATCCGGCTTGGAAAAAGAAACACCAACTCTTTGCGGAAGACATGATCTTGCATATGGAAAATCCTAAGGCACACACAAAATTAGTAACTTAATACACGAATTCAGAATTGCAACACACGAAATAGGGACGAGAGGGACATGAAAATCAACTATATTTCTACACATTCACAATAAACGATCTAGAAATAAAATGTAAAAGAATTCCACTTATTATAGCATAAAAAAGAATATTTATGAGTAAATTTAACCAAAAAAAAAAAAGGCAAGATTTCGTTTCTAAAAACCACAAAACCACTAAAAGAACTCTGGTAAGACCGAGATAAAAATGGAAGGATACCATGTTCATGGATCAGAGACTGAATGTCAGGAAGAAACACTCCCCGAAAAGATCTATACGTTCACTGCAACCTCTTTCAAAATCCCAGCTGGCTGTGTGCAGAAATTGACAAGCCGTTCCTAAAGTTCATATGGAAATGCAGGCGACCCAGAAGAGCCAAAACAATTTCAAAAGAGAACAAAGTTGGAGGATTCACACTTCCGACGTCACATCTTACTATGTAGTCAAGACAGTGCAGCACCGGTATAAGGAGAGACATGCAAATCAACAGATGAGAACTAGAGCCCAGAAATACATCCTTACATTTAAGGTCAGAAAGGATAGTGAGCAGGTGATGGCTGCTCGGGACCGGGGGTGAAGGGAGAACGAGAGTGTGTGCTGACAGCCACAGAGCTTCTTTGTGGAGTGACGGAAATGGTGTGCAGTTAGCAGAGACACTTACAGAACTCTCCTGCACCAGAAACCACTGACTTAACCTCTTTAAAAGGGTAAAATGAATGTGAATTATAGATCAATAAAGCTTTTTTCCTAAGTGACAAAATAAATCAGCTTTCATGCCACAGTATGGGATAAGATTAGGTGCGAGGGACTCGGGGTGTTCCTCTGCTTTCCAGAACCCACTTACCCTGAATGGTATAAATGAAACCGCCTGCAACGCCCTCCACACCTTCCATGAATCCGTGGGGCAAGGCGCCCTCCCCAGCCTGCAAGAAACGACAGCAGCGCTCAGTGTTTCATTGCTGAGAATACATTCCTTCTGATTTCAAACTGATCTGGCAAAACCGACAGTGACGCCACAGCAGCTAAATGCATCCATGAAGCCGATGCACTGCACTTGCACGATCGGGAAGACCCTGGTGCTCTCCCAGTCATGATACTGGACCGGGGGGCATGCAGCAGTCCATACAGTGCTCAGTCTCCAGCTTACACAGGACCATATACGCTTGAACTTGCCACCGTAAGAGTACAAAAACCAATCTTCCTTTACAGCCCAACCTTACTGCTGGAAAAAAAAATTATTACCACCTTTGATTTCTTGGACAGGAAAACTGCCACAAATTCAAATGCATGTAGGCCCATTTTTAACCTTGGCTCCACCACGCGGAGAAAAGCCCCTCTAACCAGGCGGTTCAGATGCAGCCCTACCGATTACTGACGTCATGGAAGGTGCCAACTGTCAGCCATGGTCCTTTCTGTCTCTGAGGACTGGAAGGCCTTTTATTGTTTTTTTTAAATTTTAGTTTAAAATTTTATTTTAATGTTTATTTCTGAGAGAGAGAGAGATGGAGTGCGAGCAGGGGAGGGGCAGAGAGAGGGAGACAGAAAATCGAAAGCAGGCTCCAGGCTCTGAGCTGTCAGCACAGAGCCCCACGCGGGGCTTGAACTCAGACTGTGAGATCATGACCTGAGCTAAAGTCAATGCTTAATGGACTGAGGCACGCAGGCACCCCTGGATGACATTTACTAATCAAGGTTTACCTCTCCCCACCTCACAAGTTCCCCGGTGTCCTTGCCCAGGGTGCGGGGTTTCTCTGCGCGGTACACACCCGTGTGGCCCAGGCACCCACCCAGCAGCCGCCACGGTCCCACTAGGGCCAGTTCACAGCCCTGCTTCTATGGGCACGGCTACTGCCCCGCTGGTCCTCATGCCAAGGGACCTTTCAGCAGCTGTGCGCCACAGGGCAGCATTTCAGGGCCGCAGACAGACATGGTCCTGAGGTGACTGCGGGAACTTGTCATTTAATGTACAATACGGCCTGTGGCTCGATGTGGAGGAAGCCACTGACAGTGAAGGCTACAGTTGCCGGCTCTGCAGTCCCGTGGAAGCTCCTAGACACTCTACTTCTTCACTGCGTGCCCTACATTGTGTTATAGCACTTTTTATGAACTTCTCTCTAAAAGGCCACAGCTTGGCTTTTATTTTGGCTTTTAAAAGTTTCTGACAGGGGCGCCTGGGTGGCTTAGTCGGTTAAGCGTCCGACTTCCGCTTAGGTCATGATCTCGCGGCTCGTGGGTTCAAGCCCCGCGTCGGGCTCTGTGCTGCCAGCTCAGAGCCTGGAGCCTGTTTCAGAGTCTGTGACTCCCTCTCTCTCTGACCCTCCCCTGCTCACGCTGTCTCTCTCTCTCTCTCCTAGAAATAAATAAAACATTTTAAAAAAAATAAAAAAAAATACAAGTTTCTGACATTGTCACTTGCTGGCAAGGGAGCAAGATTCGTGGAAGCTCGGAGCTTTCTGCATCTATGATGAAAACCTTTTCATTTTGTACGTGGGGTTTCCTAGAACAGGCTGCTAAGTTACTGGACTTGTTTTTAAGGTTAGCTCAGTGTTTAAGCCGGCTCTAGCTCTCTACAGCTGTGTGCCCCCAATGTGGATCGTTGATTCTTTACACTTGAACCTAGTCCTCAACTCAGAAGTCATCTGTTTCCTTTTGTGTAACCAACTTAATACTGCAGAATTCTGACACATTTTGGATATTTTTAAGTTTCATAAATAGAAAAGGAGGCAACATATATATATATTTTAATATTTATTCTTATTATTCAGTAAGAGAGAGGGAGACCGAGCACGAGTGGGGGAAGGGGAGAGAGAGGGAGACACAGAATCCGAAGCAGGCTCCAGGCTCTGAGCTGGCAGCAGAGAGCCTGACGTGGGGCTCGAACTTACCAACTGTGGGATCATGACCTGAGCCTAAGTCAGGTGCTTAACCGATTGAGCCACCCAGGCGCCCAAAGGAGGCAACATATAAAAGGCACCTGCCTTGGAAATAAACTATAATTAAATTCCACAAAACCTCTATCTTAAAGAAAGGACTTTTTGTAATAAAGAATGGGATCCTAAACACGATCCACAAGGCTAAGTCTGTAATTATATATGAATTTGAGGATCTAACGTCTTTCTCCTTCACTCGAGAAGTCCCACGATGAGCCAGGAATGGTCTTCTAAATGGGTAATAACATACCACTCATTTCAAATTCAGGAATTATTCACGTAAGGTTAACATTAACGAGAATATACTAAGCTTCTGAACTGAGATGCTAAGTAGTTTCCTAATCTTTGTACCAGAGCATCAAGGAGAATGAAAGACTGTGTGACACCACCACAAACACCACTTGTTTACTTAAAGCTCATCGTTTTAGGCCTGCCTACACCCGATCCCCCTGCATTTACTTGGGAGAAATTCACCTGTCACGGTTTTAAATTTGAAGCAAATCTGAATAAAAGAAAAACATGAGGCAGAGATCCCAGCACTATAGATGAAAGCGGATACTCCCTCTTATTTTCCTTCTATGTTAACTAACGTCCTGCTGTGGGGCTGAGAATGAATGTTCTGAATACTACTGAGCAGGTGTCCTTCAAGAACGCGAGCTTAAAAATTACTGAGAAATAAAATATCACACGTTTTAAAAGGGCCCCTACCTTGGGGCACCTGGGTGGCTCAGTCAGTTAAGCATCCGACTCCGGCGCAGGTCATGGTCTCACGGTTCGTGGGTTTGAGCCCTGCGTCGGGCTGTGTGCTGACAGCCAGCTCAGAGCCTGGAGGCTGTATCAGATTCTGTGTCTCCCTCTCTCTCTGCCCCTCCCCTGCTCATGCTCTCTCTCTCTCTCTCAGAAATAAAAACATTAAAAAAATTTTTTTAATGCTAAAAATGCCGAGTAACCTCAATAAAGGAGGAGGGCTTACCGTCATGACTCTGAGAACGCCCCCACCATCATTTACGGTCACTTTGTGGAGATTTCTTGACACGAGGCCTTGGAGGTCTTGGCTCTCCCACACGACTGTACCTTCAAAGCTCTTTTTGTGGAAAGATGAAGTACAGTCGGTTTCTTTATTGTCGTCATTGAGGTTTTAAGTAAGTCTTTAAAGAGAAATTAGATTCTTCCCCAATACCTACTGGTTAAAATGTGTATCCCAGCGACTCTAACCCACACTACTGTGGACATTTTGGTGTATATTCCCGTGTCATTTTTTTTTTCATGGCCATGTGAAAAAACTAAGTACAATCCTGCACTCCCCTGTTGTTTGTGTTTCCCACTACACCGAAGCGCCTCCAGACGCTACTGCGGCTGTTACAACCATCCTTTCTCACGAGTCTCCAACATGCCACTGCGTGCGTGCATCCCAAGTCACACAGACCCCTCCCTGCTGGCAGACATCTGGGCTCCATCAAATATCTAAGAGGGGCGCCTGGGTGGCTCAGTCCGTTAAGCGTCCGACTTCGGCTCAGATCATGATCTCACAGTTCGTGAGTTTGAGCCTCGCATGGGGCTCTGTGCTGACAGCTCAGAGCCTAGAATCTGCTTCGGATTCTGTGTCTGTCTCTCTCTCTCTGCCCCTCTCCTGCTTGCACTCTGTCTCTCTCAAAAATAAACATTAAAGACAAAAAAATTTTTTAAATAGCCAGTAAATCATGTTTTGGTGTTAAATGCTTATTTTTCCCTAACAGTAAGGTAGATTTTCAGGGGTGAAATTACAGGGACAAGGAAGAGAGATATTTTATATGAATCTTGGGAAACAATGCCCAGTTGTTTTTTCAAAAGGAAATTATACTAATTTATAGTCTTTCCCAATTTACAAAAATACCAACTGCACTAGTATTCTTCTTCTAAGTATGGGATATCAGTAAAAGTAAAGAAGTTTGAATCAATTTCGAATTTTTTAAAAAATGTTTCATTTAATTGCATTTGATTTCTAGTGATGTTTATAAATCATACAGTCTTTTCTGGGAATTCCGGATCCAGGCATCTCTGCCATCTAGCTACAGAGTTTTCTATTTTTCTTATTCATCTGTGTTATCTTGTAATCAGTGACCCTGTGTATATATTATATGCTAAAATAGTTTTTCAGAATTGTTTGCCACTTAACACTATGGTTTTTTGTGTTTGAAACTAAAAGGTCCACAAGTATACTCTGGTTTCTCTTCAGATCGCATAAATCTTTCACCTTTTACTCTGAAAGGCCCACAAGTTTTATCTTGTCACAATCGACAAGCTTTTCTTTTGTGATTATTACTATTAACTTTTGGACTTAGAGAGTTACACTCCCCTGCCCTAGGTTTGATATGCATTTAAATCCCAGGGTCTTCTAATTTCTCAGTGGGAGCTCAGCTACTCCTTCCACTGCTCAGGCTCCCTCCACAGTCAGCCCCTCGGAGAGGCTCGCTCCAGAGATCCAATGAAGGCAAGCAGCTCCCGCTTTTTCTTCTACCACATCAACCTTATTTTACTAACACCCCTTATCTATCACTCTGCTCTCATTTACCTTCCTATTGTCAAACCGCTCCCACTAGAATGCAAGTACCAGGAGCGCAGGGATCTTATCAACCACCAGGTCCCCAGCACCTAGAATGGCTTTGACATACAACAGGCACCCGAAAAATATTCACTCAGGGTCGAACTCAAAATTAATTGGAATGAATTTTGTTCTAGAGCACTAGTTAAAAGATAGAGCTTTAATATTCTTTTAAAAGTTTCACATATTAAAATGAAGAGATAAAAGTGCTTTAGTGTCCCAGTTAGCCAGGATTATAAGGAAACGGTACAAAATTCTATTTGTCCAACAAGCTAGGCCAGTGGTTTGAAAGTTGTTTTTTGTTTTTTTTTTTAAAGCACTACAGCTTCTCTGTGAGAATAGATAAAAACACTGACAGAGTCCGGATTCCCTACGCAGTCTGTCACTTTATATGCGGCTAAGGGGTCCTTCATCTGCACTGTTGGTGAGATGCCGAATGCACGTTGAGCAGCTCCAGGGTTTCTGAGAGCAGGCCTTACACGCACACTGTGGGTCGTCACTGCCTGACCACGACGACAGAGAAAATGATGCCAACCTCACGGGGCTGCACAGAGGGTTAGTGACCACGCAGCACAGCCTCCTTGCCCAGCACAACAGAGCTTTATGACCACTGGGAAGAACGCAGAAAGTGAAGTGTCCCTTTGAAAGATCCATGGTCTTATCCTGGAAATAGGTGTGGATTTTTTCTATGTTCTCCCTGGGTGGCCTTAACTCTATTCAACTTGACACTGAACCTCAACTCTGTAGAAACAAACAGCAATCCCACAGAAGAAAAACACAAGACTAGGGAGAAATACACCAAATATGTTGGGAAACAGATGGGTAACATCATATCCTGTTAACTTTTCTCTATTTTGTCAAATTTTCAACAGTGAAAAATATTTTTCATACTTTTATGATCAGGAAAAAAAATTTTAATGAAACAAGTGTATACAACTAAATAAATGTGGGGTCAGTCTTCTTTCAGGCAGAAGCCATTCTTTCAGCTTTTCAATGTCTACTACATAGCAGGCTCTGGGCTCTTCGAAGATCTGAAGAAACAAACCAGCTCATATCTTCAGATCATCACAACGTACCATGATACCTTCAGTAACAAAGGAAAGTCATTGTGCTTGCAGAGGTCAGACAAAATTTCAAATGACGGTGCGAACAGAGCTAAGTCTTGAAGGCATCGGAGTCAGACAAGTGAGAGGCAGACAAAATAACACATCACAAGGCAGACTTGAAAGAGCGCTGCCTGTTCAGAACAACCTCAGCGCTGCCGAGGCGCAAGGCTGAGGGCAGGAGAGGGGAAAGGTAGGCTAAGGTTGCCTGTGGCTTCTGTGAGAGTCTGTCCCTTATCTGGAAGGCAGTGGAAAGCGCAAAAGTTTGCAAGCCCAGAGTGACACATCATAGCTGCATTTTAGAAAGGCCACTCGAGCAGCAGCACAGCCCCAGAGCCGCTGACGGGGAGAAAGGGACGCATCCCAGGAGTCCAGGTGAGAAGGAGCAAGCGCTTATTCAGACATTAAGACTGCCTTCCGAGAAACTGAAGGAGACAGAAATCTATGGAAAGATATTCAAGCTCACAGACTCAAAGTATTAATATGGTTAAACTGTCCATACTACTCAAAGCAATCTTCAGATTCAATGTGATCTCTACCAAAATTCCAATGGCTTTTCCACAGAAATACAATAAATAATACTAATATCTGTATGAAATCACAAAGAGACCCCAAATAGCCAAAGCAATCTGAAGAACAAAGCTGGAGCGCCTGAGTGGCTTGGTTGGTTGAGTATCTGATTCTTGATTTCAGCTCAGGTCTTGATCTCCCAGTTCACATGAGACAGCCTGCTTGGGATTCTCTCTCTCACTTTTTCTCCGCCTCTCCCCTGCCCCCCTCTCCTCCCCTTATAATAAACAAACATTAAAAAAAAAACAGCCGGAGGGCATCATGCTTCCTTATTTCAAACTATATCACAAAGCTACTGCAATCAAAACAGCATGGTTTCAGCAAAAAACTGACACAAAGACCAACAGAACAGGAGAGCCCAGAAATAAACCCACACACGTACAGTCAACTGATTTACAAAAGAGGAGGCGAGAATATACAACGGGGAAAGGACAGTCTCTTCAATAGATGGGGTTGGGAAAACGGGACAGCCACATGCAAAGGAATTAAATGGGATTGTTACCTTGTACTAGACACAAAAATTAACTCAAAATGGCTTCAAGACATGATAAGACCTGACACCACAGAATAGGTAGTAAGCTCCTTGACACTGGACTTGACAATTTTTTTATTTAATACCAAAAGCAAGTGTAACAAAAACAGAAATAAACAATTGGGACTACAATGAACTGCAAAGCTCCTGCACAGCAAAGGAAACCATCGACAAAATGAAAAGGCAGCCTATGGATGGGAGAAAATATTTGTAAGGAGTGAATATCCAAAATATATAAAGAACTCCTACAGAACAACAAAAATCCAAACAATCTGATTAAAATATGGGCAGAAGATCTGAACAGACGTTTCCGAAGACAACATATAGCCAAGAGACACATGAACAGATGCTCAACATCACTCACCATCAGAGAATGTCCCCTCATACCGGCTACAGTGGTGACTACCATCAGACAAGGAACAAGTGTGTGGACAAGGATGTGTAGAAAAGGGAAACAGTGGCTGAAGCCATCGTGGAAAACAGTATGGAGGGTCCTCAAAATATTAAAATAGAACTACCCCCACGATCCAGTAATTCCACTTCTTTATCCAAAGGAAATGAAAACACAATAACTTGGAAAGATATCTGCACCACCATGTTCACTGCAGTATTATTTACAACAGCCAAGGCATGGAAGCAACCCAAGTGTCCACAGATGAATGGATAAAGAAGATGTGATGCGCAAACACACGCACAGAGGGATATTATTCAGCCATAAAAAGGAAGGAAACCTTGCCATTTACAACATGGATGGAACTTGAGGGCAGTCTGCTAAGTGAAATAAGTCAGATAAAGGCAAATCTCGTATGATTTCACTTATATGTGGGCTCTAAAATGCGGGCTCTAAAATGCTTTTAAAAAGCCAAAGACAAAACACCGAACTCACAGAGAGAGAGAGAACAGATGGGTGGTTGCCAGAGGCATGGGCTGGGTGGATATGCAAAATGGGAGAAGGGGGTGAAAAGGTACAAATTTCCAGTTATAAAATAAATAAGTCCTGGGCATGTAATAATGTGCAGCACGGTGACCACAGTTAATAATGTTGTGTTGTGTATCTGAAGGTTGCTAAGAGGATCTTAAAAGTTCTTGTCACAAGAAAAGAAATGGGATGGTGGTGATGGATGTTAGACTTAGATCATTCTGCAGTGTTGAATCATTATGTTTGTAACACCTGAAACTAATATGTTATATGTCGATTACATCTCCATTTAAAAATTAAGACTGCTTTCTGAGTTGAATGAAATGCTTAAAGAAAACAATGTCCTTAATAACTGAGAAGTGCTCTGAGGTTCAAGCTT